CTCAGGGGGGAAAAATAACACAGTGGGCCAATAATCATGTGCTTCTCCCAAACAACATCTTCGAAGGGCGCATGGGTTGGGGATGCATCAACCCTCAAGGATTTGTTGCCTCCTGGAACGGATCTACGCGGTGGACATGAGTCACACTACTCAAAGCCTTTAATATCGAAGCTCGAAGGGGTCGACCCAAAACCTGTGGCAAGCTATACAAAGGCGTCCGCTACTATCTTTGGAACCCTTTTCTCAGCCTCAATCACTCAGGTTTTGATTGCCTTTTTTTGAGTCCAACAACCCCTTTTAGTTCCTTCCCACCCTTCGATAGTGTTTCCAATTGTCGAGTCCCAGCCCCCTTTCGGCCCTTTCGTTCATTCCGAACACCAGCAATCCGACCAGCCAATCGCCTCCCACCGAAACCCCGGGACCCCGAGCCCCTGGAAGGCTGCCGAGAGCGTGTCCACGAAGAACTCCGAGGTGTCCCCGAAGACGTCCTCGTGCGGCGTGCGCGTGGTGAGTCGAGGTGGTGCCATGGTCATGTCAACCCTTGAATGCCTGGGGAAACGTAAAACCCAACGAGAAGTTGAGTCCAACATGTTGAGCATTTTACCCTCCCACCTCTCACTCACTTCGTGGAAGCAAACTGGGGGGGGGCTCCTGCAAGCATCATGTGATTGGATGGCATAGGTAACCACATTCACCCTCACAAACGTCCAAGTGCCATTCCAGGCCACCTTCCAGAATCAAACTCGACTTCCCTGGCTACTTCCATGCTCGTTGGCCACCAGTTTGCCCTGTGCCAGGGCACCGCGGCCGTCTGGGCGACCTTCTCCCATGCCTAGTGAATAGGCAGTGAGTTGAAACTCGATCCTTGACGTTTGATCGGAGCTCTCTCCGCTTTGGGTCTGTCTGTTTGAGCCCCTTTTTTGGTGGGTTTAAAGGGACCAACACAAAGACACACCCAAATTGAGCTTCCTGTTGGTTTCCCTTTCAAACAGCTCCGAACAGGGTACTCGAGAAAACAGACACCAATGGTCAATGATGGCTCATGTTCAAGCACTGAAGTTATGCAACATCTTAAGCTCCGCCTGCAGTGGGTTGATATGTACTATGGTTGAAACTCCTTTGTAAGATTAACCACTTCAAAGAGCTCCTCAAAGTGGTTGTCTCATGCAACTTGTTGATGACCATACACAACGTGGGAGGTGGTCGAGACTAGAGACCCTTTCGGTCCAGGATTGAAATGAAATCAACATGAATGCATGAACTTTGACAGAGCAACTACTTATGCCAAACTCACCTAATCCGGAGATGTGTCAAACTAGCAATTCTTGCTTGGTGAAGGGGAACCCAGCATAACGCCGTTGATAGGGTCCCTGAGTGTAGTGTAAGAATGGCTTTCAGCGGAAACCTGCGAAAACCACCAACACCAGCCCGTCAACAAAACATGCGAGGGGTTGCTACGTAGGTGTCCAAAAAGAGAGCCGTGTCCGCATGGTGTCATTTTGCGCCCGAAAAGGGGTATCACTCGCAAGCGCTCCCGCGGGGGGCGAGCGCCCGGCTGCCGGCTCCACTACAGGCTCTGGTTTCCCTCGTAGGCGGACCTGCCGAAGAGCATGCTTTGGAGTGCATAGAGACGTTCTCAGAAGCGATCTCTGCACTTAGCTACGCCGCATACCTACATACCTACACATATTTGTATGATTGTGAGACAATCATAAGAAATTATAACTGCAGGGCTGTGAGAAATGTACCCCTTTGTGGCACCAAAGTGGACAGTCCCCGTGACTAGTTTGTCTCCTTGGTCCCCAAAACCCAATTGCCCGCACCCATGCGTTGGAATGAATGTGTACAATACACTGTACATACACGTACACAAACTGCAACTGAATACCCTTACAAAAGCTCATCTCCTCCAATTCTCAAAACGGCGGTGCTCCCAAGACAAGCAACCAATCTTCACTGGAAAGGCGGACATCCTTCTCTTACTCAACCAAGGCCATGTCACTCCTGGGCTCCCCTTACCATGCTGAGACGTTTTGACCCTCACAAACTCGCTCGAAGCTCGCAGCTTTTATCAGGTCAAGGAAGTAGATGGTGAGTTGTTCAAAGTGTGAATAACCTCAACAAGCACCCTTGCAGCACTCATGCCGTCTTTGACCAACCCTACTCAATTTGTGCGATCAAACGGTGCAGTGCTTTTTGCAACCCGGCCTGTGACGGCGCAAAGGATCTCCAGTTGCAGAAGCTCGAAGAAGCAGAATATAAAAGCCTGTCACGCGTAAGCAATTATTGGCCTTGATCCATGGGAAGAAATATCAAACCTGGGGAGTATCACATATGCTCCACAAAGGGCTGTGAAAGAACCAAATAGTTATTGACATCGTCAACATGATAACAACATGGGTTTGCACAGCATACCAATGGGCTACAAAAGCAGATGGGCACTCTCATGGACCTCACTCCTGAGGATATTTTTTGGATCCTGTTTTGTTCCTGCCAGCATGGTGTGTTGACATGTCCTTCTGTGTCTGCGGATCTATGGGGAAAAATGTTGTTGCTCCATTTAACGTCTTCCACTCTACGTCAACCTGAACAAGTAACGTACTTGTTTAGCCGGGGCGTTTCCCTTTTAAAGCCCAAACAAACATCGCGCTTTTGAAAATGGATTGGAACCCAAACGAAAAATCTGGGCTCCGACATGCCCGAATTCACGCCAATTTTGAACTGATGGTTTGGCGTTTTAAGGGTTAGAATCCTGGACTCCCCTATTTTCCGCCACTCCCACATCAGCCACGGTAAAAATATTGGTTTCCGCCCAAAATAATGGAAACTCGTTACTCCCCAGGTTCTTGCACGAAATTAGGTGAGTCTGTCATGCATCATATCACATGGGACAATAGACTGGACAGTTTAACCAACCTCAAATGCGGAACCCTCTGAAATATGGTGGGTGGACGCAAATCAACCCCAAATCCCAATATTGAGTGAAATGGTCCAGGCGTGCACCGTGCAGCTCACTAAGGCGCCCGCAGGCTCGCGCTGAGCCATGCATGGCGACGCCTCACCTTGAAAGCGGAAGCGACCGCAGCAACAAGCGCTTGGAAACTGAGCCGTGCCCGTATTCTTTCTTACCATACCCAAGAAGGTTGACATGTTCGCTTGCACACACAACAAGGTTGATCTGTATTGCCAGAAAGCAAATACCAGATTGGCGTTCCTTCAGAGCAAACAGAACGATTCTGTCCAACAAGGAAATGAGGTTGGCACCCGGGCTCTTTCTTGCTCAACACCCCATCAACAAGTCCTGGCGCCAATTGTCCGACCCCACAACACAAAACAAACATCACAACCCGGAACACCACCCCCGGAAGCACACCACCCGGAACCACCCGGGGTCCAAAACAAAAACAACCAAAGAACTACGCCCGAATGCGTGCCCCTTTTGACCCTGTTGAATCCTTTTCAGTTCCTAACCCCCCCCCCCCCCGGCAGAAGCTGGGGGTGGGGTGACTGCCCAAACCCTGTGCCAACCCTTGGGTCCAAAGACGAACCCCGGGCTTCGGGCCATGGATCGCGGCCAGGTCCTGTACGGCCCAAACCCGCGGGAACGGGCGGGATCGGTGTCATTGAAGTCAGACTCGTAGAGCCCCCCCGTGTCATTTCCTCATTTCCTGGTCTCATTTGTTCAGGTCAAATTTGAGGTTTCACGGTGGAAATTCGGATTAGGTTGCGTAGAGTCTAGGTGCAGGTCGAACGCGTTTCCTCCGTTGAAGCACACTTGCGAGACCCACCGAGTAGAAAGTCCCGAAAAGAAACATCAACAAGGTCTGCCAAGTGTCTCGTCACGACACCTCTTGCTCCTTCCCCTTCATACATTGAGTCTACACAAAGTGTACTTCAGCTCATGTCCGGGTTGGCGTCTCATTGGACCTAACCCCCCCCCCATAACATCCCCGACCGTGCCAAGACATGGAAATTCAGCCAGCTGCCTTCCAGCTTCTATGGTTGACCGAGACCTCATACGATTGGAAGGACATTATTTCACTGTCACACTCAGACGTATACAACTTTGTTGGAATGCTGGTGGAATTCCTTTGAAAAGGCTCCGCCCCACAAGGGTGCCTGCAACAACTTCGCCCTGTGCGCATGTCCTCATCGACTAATGGTTTTGCACCCTCAAGAGTGGCAACTAGAACAGTATCCGAGGGATGTGAATCCTTCCGTTCCGGTGGCAATCTCCCACTGATTTGGCCATGAGCTTTGGGGTTGGCCACCACGAATACAAAAATCACAAATGATAGGGTTGCTCCCTGCCTCTGAACAAACCCCCGGAGGTAGAACATTGGCTTGGTTTCCTCCAAAGTTCCCGCCAGGGACCAAATTTCTTGCCGGTGTCTTTGAAGAGACCCTCGACTCACCGCACCGACTCCGCTCCTCCCCGGGCCCAGCCCATGGTTCCAACTTGAGCCGAAGGAAGCGAGGGAAGCGAGCGAAGAGGCTGGCTCGTTGGCGAGGACGTTTGCTGCCATGCTCCAAGTGGAACGCGTGCGCGCACACACACACACACATTACATGTAACATATTATCAAAAGGACACTCACAGAATAAGCACTGCTTTGTGGAATTTCACAAATCGGGTCGACAAATGGGCTGAACCACCCGGCTCCCCAGATTTGAACCATATCCGCATTTAGCATGCACACTGTCCAAATGTGGCGCAATACATGTGGCGGCGGCGAACCAAGTCTGGCAGCCCGATTGCCAGTCAAGTGCAAAAATCCATCAAGCCGCGGCACGTGCAGAAAGTATTTTCTTGTTCTCCCTTAATGATGAACAACTGAATCGAGTGCAGCCGAAGGCTCAGGAGCACCACCTACTACAAACAGTGCTTTGCCATGTAGGCCATTACGGTCGTCCGCGGTAGCTGTCGGATTTCAGCTTGGGTGGCACTGGAGATTTAGGCCGGTTGGACTGAACGCCGTTTGAAGTTGAAAGGCGATCCGAGAACGTGTCAGGACGCTGTTCCCACCGCGGTCTTCTGGACATGTGATCGAACATGCTTGATCTCTTTCAGTGTGCATTTCCAATTTGAACTTCAACAGGAAGCTGTGCTTTGAACTCCAAGAGGGCTCCAAATTTGGGTCAAAGTCCACCTTCGAATGCCCAGGGCCCAATCTGGGATCGGCACTGGGCAGTGCCGAAGAAGACCTCGGGCAGTGCACAAGGCCCACAAGGCCCCCTACGCCTTTCGAATACACTTGGACAGTGGAAACTTCGACCAAGCATCTGGTACCTCTGCTCCAAGTTCCCCTGCCCCCTGTGCTGTCTCTCTCTCTCTCTCTCTCTCTCTCTCTCTCTCCCTCTCTCTCTCGGACTCTATCCAGTTTTCTCTGATCCCTCCTCTCTGACTGACAGTCACGTAAGAAGCCAGCGTCCAGGAAGGAGGACTCGCTTTCTCGCTTTGGTTGGCGCCATGGCATTAGCCTCAGCAAATTGGTGATCCCAGCAACCGGTTGAAGTCCCGCTCTCGGAATACAAGATGACTACAGCAATACTCATCGAAACCTAAAAGACACCATAAGGTTCAAGCGCTTTGGGCTATGTGCAAGTGCCTGGATCTTCTGAGGAGGCACTTCGCTGTGTCGCGGTTGCACGTTTGGCACATCTGCGCTCGGTTGTCCGAAGAGCACGAGTGCCGGTATGAAATTGGCCGCTTGGTCTTACATTTTATCGACAATCGATGTTGGTAGCTTAGTTCATTGGGACGGATGAGAGGGGTACGGGGTACCTCAGTAGAAACAAAAAGCACGCTTTTGACTCATGGATTAATCTGATTAATCCAACAGAGACTGAAACTTCTGGCTTCCCCTGTGGATAGTTCAACCACCCTGGGTTTCAAGTCTTCTTGCAACCAAACACCAGGACCTCAATTGCACATTGGGGTGTTTTTTTTTCAAAATTCAGCCCCCCCTACATTTGGTTGGCTTTCTTCTGATTTCCCTTTCAACACCATCCCCAAAAAGCGGGGGCTTCCATTTCCAGAAACCCTCCGCCTCGGCAGCGACGAGGGCGGGTTGTCCCTGACAAAGCCGCTGAGGTTCTCCACGACTTTACATCCTACCGGGGCAATGGGCTGGGCAAGGCTTGGCGAAAAGGGGTTCTGAAGTCTTCCACTGTCATGAATCTCATAAATCTACCGTTGTAGGGGTGATTATTTTCCAAAATGAGAAGGCTCAATTTGCGTCCAACCACCCCTGCACAAACAACTCTGGGAGATTCAGTAATGCTCTAGTAAGAAGAACCCTCTGAATGAGCGGGCTCTTTGATTGGACAACATGGAGGGAATCCATGGTTCACTTCAGGAGGACGGGAAGGGAGCAGTAGGTTCCAAATCAACAAACATGCTTAACTCTGTTGCTCAGTTGCTGAAATGCTGGATGGAGCACGGGCGGGTCCTCCTCTGCTGCTAAGCTCCAGAGGATTTGCAAAGTCCTGCGCCGCCAATAAGCAAGCCCCTGTCGATTGGGCAAACGTATAACATACACACTAAATGACCATGGGTGCGTCTTCCATTTCGTGGGACACAGATCTTCTTGAATGGCTTTCTCTACAGGTCATCCCATGTAAAGCACGCTTTGATCAACCCCCATGTGTGCGCCAGTGCTTTTGGGCTGGAAACTGGCTCGCCGGCAACAGCTCAACTTCCAGCCTCCGAGTTGCAACACAGGCTTGCCAAATCCACCACCTGGCAGGGGATCAAGCTCATAGTCTGGAAGCCAAGCCTGCGACTCCATACGCAGCTCACGGGGAGCGCTTGGCGGTGGAGTAAGCAACAATTCGCACCAAGTCTTCGCTGGCTGGTTTGGGAATCCGTTTGGCAGACCTCCTGGCAGCATTCATGGACAAACGCCAAGCCACAAGCCAAAAGCCGCGGTGAAGCAACCAGCTAAGAATGCAAGCATGCCAGGCACGCGGACAAATCCAGATCTTTGGCAATCCTTAGTTGCGCATGTTGAAAGCTTAGGGTAGAGCCTCTTGCAAAGTAAGATTGATGGTACTCTTCAAAGTCCCTTCTGTATGTCTTTTGTGGTGGTGGGGGGGGGGTGTTGAAAGGCGGAATCAAAGGAATCAACCTTTTCCAAGTTACCTGATGTTGCGACACACCACTCTTGGCTACTTCCATGACTTTGGAATATAAGTGCATCCCTCTTTCTCGCCTCTGGATTGTACCTTCGCATTGTTCACATGGCTTCAACATGGAATCGGAGCCCGTGAAAGCCAGTTGCCGGCTGTGACACATGCCCACCTACTCGACCGTCGGCACTTTCCTGCGGACTTTTCGCGAGCCCATACAGCATGCCAAACGACCCACTTCACCAACGGAACTATTTGGCCTTCGCGCTGGAGAAAGGGAGTCTTTAATTGTGGCATGTTTAATTTCGACACATTGCCGATACATGTTGAACTACAGGTATCCTAGAAGGCATCCTGTTCGTAAATGATCGGTACCATCTGATCCTGAGAGCCGATAAGAGGCTTGCATTGCCGCCGAGATTCTGCCGAATGCGGGAGTTGTGGAGCCTGCGCAAAGGAACATACCGTAAACTCATCAAGCAACGGGCTGAGCCGCAGCATGGACATCTTCAATGGCAGCTTCAAGCTTTGAGTTGCATGGTCTTGAGTCTTGAGTAGGCGCTTGATTCCAAAATGGATATTTGTTTTGAGGGTGCTACAAGCAGAAGCTAGAGCGGAGTCATTCTCAGGATCATTACGGACCTGGGATGTGTGCGTATTGTGTGTATGAAACAACTTGCTTGATCAGCATTATCATCGACACACACACACGCTTTCACACACACACACACGCACATGCACGCGCATTTTTGTCCACTGACACAACTATTTACCACACACACATACAAGCACGCGGACACACGCACACACACACACACACACACACACACACACACACACACACACACACACACACACACACACACACACACACACACACACACACACACACACACACACACACACACACACACACACACACACACACACACACACACACACACACACACACACACACACACACACACACACACACACACACACACACACACACACACACACACACACACACACACACACACACACACACACACACACACACACACACACACACACACACACACACACACACACACACACACACACACACACACACACAAACGCACAAACACGCACACACACACACACAGGCACACGCACAAACAAGCAACAACACGCAAACACGAACACATACACACACATACACACATAGAAATAAAACGCACACACAAACAGACTCACACAACCATCCATCATTCACAGACACAAACACACAAACAACCGTTCGCATATGTGCGGCCAATGCAATGCCCTTGCTCCATTTGTTCCGCCGCATCTGTCTGCGCGGTGGAGATAAAACCTTGGCAGGCACAGGGAATCAACATCTCCTGGCATGGGAGCCAAGGGTTCTTCACGCTCTGGGGGGATTTTCATTGGTGTCTTTGGATGGATCTAGTATGGGCTTCGCCCAGTTACCCAAGAAAACCTCTGGTTGACTCTTGAGCGGTGTGCACCCATCACGTGGCCAAATATTAGCACTTGACAACTTGCAGTGACAAGTAGTGATCTGAAGATTTTATCATATTCCAACACCTACAATAAGACATCCCCAAGTAAAGAACCACTATGGTGAGCTCGTGCTACCCCGGGGAAAGCTTGCCATAAAACAGGCAGACTGATCTTCGTCAAGCAGCCAATACATCTCAAGCGAGCGCTCGCTCTCAAAGAGCACACGGGCATGTAGGACCTTAGCCAAACAAGTCTCTGTGACAGCCTCACCCGCATTGGCATGATTGGTCACATGAAAACAAGTTTTGTTGAGGGTATCCTTGTTGGGTTAGTTTTAGAGGGGCGCTCATTTTGGGGGTCCCCTAAATAAAGACTCAAGTACACGTTCATGAGGAACGGAAGCTCACCCAACTTGTTCCCCTGTGAGGTCTAGGTCCTGATGTCACTCCTCAAGCCGAAGGGCACAGCGCACTCTGCACACTGCATCTTCGTCTCAGCGAACATTGCCGCCTGCGTTGCTCACAGCTGGGAAGATGGCTAAGAAGCGTTCAAGTTTCGCATGTGAGAAGATACGCAAGATAACGATAGCTATATTTTTTAATTGGAGACCCTTTGGTCATAGGACATATGCACATATGTTGAGAGCCGTCAAACATATTGCTACAACATTTTGACAGCAAAGAAAGGCAGGCAGCCAGCAACACACACAACGCCCAGTGGGCCGAAAGGTGAAAAGGGAACCCTTGGGGTTGACCACTTTGGGAATCCAACAAAACAAGAAGGGGAACAGGCTGTCACTGAACTGGGATTTACTCACCAAACATGGTGCCCACAACCCCTTCAAGCTACTACCTGGGACAAGGGCTAATGACTCCTAGCTTTAAGATACATAGAAGTCATGCGAGGACTGCCGAGTTTTCGGCCTGCACGGCCTGCGCCACCTCGATACCCAGCTCCGGGGGGCAAAACCTGAGTTTTTGGGTGGGGCATCTGGGTGGCTTGTCTTTTCTTGAGGGGAGCCTTTTTGGGCAAGTTGACGTCTAACAAGAGGGGAAATCCTAGGAAACACCATACAACGCGAATAAGAAGAATAGCAGTACATGGTCTGCCATCAAACTACACCTGAAAAGGAAATACCGGAGCATTCGCCGAGATCAACACATGCCGACTTCCTCGCAGCAAAATCTCACTTGAGTGGGTGGATTGAGTGAAAACAAACAGGTCAAAACATATCTAACGTTTTGTTTCCAGCACAGTTTTCCCAAGTGTAGTCCAAACATCTTGAACATGAGCAATGCACACCTTGGCGCCAAGTCAACAAGGCAAAGCATGAAGACCTCACGTAAGGAGGTAACAGGTCAGCGAAGCAAAGTGAGCGACGAAGATCTTTCGGCTTGCCAAAGTTCCACCCACACAGTCCAGACTCTGGGCGCCCAGTTTGCAGCCAAGTCCCTGTTACTCCTTGTGCCGAATTGGGGGGGGGTGTTCCCACATAGGCAACCCTGACAAATTGGCGGTGTCCAATTGGTTTCCGTTGAAAAAGCCCCTAGCTGTCCCAAGCTTGGGGATCTGTGACTCAATCTGGTTTGAAAGTACCCCATTCTGCGAGAGCCCTCCAACTTTCCAGCCGAAAGAAGAAGAACAAAAGAAAAAAAGAGAGATACACTTTCAATGCTGGCCAAACAAAATGAGCTAGACCCCCCAACTTTCGAAAGCCGAGGAAAGCGCTGCACTTGCAGAGCGTCCAGGCAACCTCCGCCCTCGGCCTCAGCTCAGCTCCGCGGCTCAGCCGTGAGTGGCTCAACATGGAGCCTATGTTAAGCTCTCGGTTCAACGAGATTGTAAACTCTTAAGGACCATTTCTGAGTGGATATCCCTTCCATCTACAAGATCGTTCCAAAGTGGCCACATGTATATTGTGCATACATATAAATATATACATACACAACTTGTATGATTTATTGAAAATATATCCTTATGATATATCCTTTCCACACACAGAAGGCTGAGACGTTTCCCGAAACCAGTCTCGAGCCTCGCAGCCGAGCGCGTCTCTAAGCGTCCAGCCAAAGATCTCACGCAGGCCAGTGCTGCGGATAAGTCGCAGGCATCCGCCTTCACAAGGCGCCAAGAAACCAGCTACCCTTGGACAACACAAACTCACGCTGAATTGGTGAAACCGGGTCTTGAAATCAGGGGCTCTGGGCTGTATTCATGGGCACCTCTCAATAAATATTGGTGTTGTCATGCTGGTTTCCGTGCAACTACCATCCAACACAAGAGTCCCATATTTTTCGAAACACCCATTTGAGCCGAGGTCGAAATATGCAGTTCCTGTCATTTGACAACAAAAACTCAGTGACGTCCAAGGGTTCTAAGGGCAGCTTCCGTCCCCCGGCCTCCGCAATCTTCACGCACACGCCCTCCCCAATCTCGCGGGAGCCCTTCGAGCTGGGCTCAGCGGAACAAAGGACTGCGATCTCCACCTAGGACCGGGTGACGTTGCCGGATGCTTGGCAACATGGCTTATGGTGCAACTTCCATTCTTTTTGCCTTTTTTGCTCCGCCAGCACCCCAGCAAGTGATTTGTCCCATGCCCATCAGCCCAAGTACTGGCAAAAAGCAGTCCGACTGGGAGAGTGCTGGCAGCATTTGACAAGACGCAGTCCGACTCAGCTCCAAACGCAGCCTCCCTTGGGCAGCCTCGGAACTTCAGCATAGGAGACGAGCCTGCGCGGCCATCCGTCGCTGAGCCACTCTGATCCTCTATGCATTGGTATGATCCAATGAGATGTTGGCTCAAGATCGAGCCAAATCAAAGAAAGAAAGGGCACTCAGGTCCCGTGTCATCTTGGGGAGGGTGATCGTGGGCCGTTTATGATGCCGGCTCCCGCTTAGAATCGGCTCCGACTCTGAGGGTTTGCTTCATGTCTGGCCAATCGCAAAAAACACTGTCATGTGCCCCGAATACCCGCAAAGGCTCCAACCATACAACAATCATATATAGCCTTATATTGCCTTATGCGACCATGGGGTCATGGGAGTGCACATCAAAGAGTCCGACAACCCGAGAAACAAAGGTCCAACCTCCCGGGTTCTGTTTAGGGAACACCAACAGCTGTTTTAGGGTCTCCTCCCCACTCATCACTCATCACAGGAAGATGCCTCTCACGTTCCATGTTTCAAGACCTCAGCTTTGACGCAAGACGCGGCGGGAGCACGGCATCGCGGATGGGGCGGAAAAGCGCATGTAGGCCAGAATCTCTCTGCATAGCCTCGATTTGGCAGTGCTTCTCTGGGCTCCAGATGAAGGATCTGGAAAAACATGAACAAAGAGCTATTGTTTCTTGTTCAGGAAAAGTAAATAACCTATTTAGCAGCAAGTATGGGCTCCGTGATCAAGGGCTTGCCCCAGGGTTTTGTGGGTGTCCATGGCTTGTAGTCGTCGGCACGTGAAAGTGCAAAAGGCTCCTGTCGTCAGACACTCACGCTGAGACATGGACATATTATATACTTCCAATCCCGATGTGCCGATTATCAATGGAGCCCTAAATGTCACACGCACACATTTACTTTGATATGTTGCCTTCTGTCAGGGGCACCTAAAGCAGGGGTACGTGATTGAGGTAGACGTGGCATGGTGTGTGAAAACACATTGCGTAGGGGATCTCTCCAACGTACCTGTTTGGTTGCTTGATCTACCATTGCGGGTACCCCCTCCCCCAAACAACATGAACATGCATAACCTCCCTTTTTGCAAAGCAAATGGGCAGATTGGGAGGGATTGTGTCGGGTTTTAAGCTTGGCTCACAACTGCGAGTCAGTGGGGCCAAGTATTTCTCTCCATGCTTACCGCGATTTGAATATGCTTTTGGTGTTCCCTTCGGGGACAAGGGGACACGGGTTGGTCGTTTAAACAAACCGTGCCCAACCCCCGGTCTCCGCGCACCATGTTTGCGGCTGGGGAGTCTAAGTCGGAAGCCTAGGACTCCGGGCTCCACGGCATCCACGCCTGGAGTTGCGTAGACCTAAGCCCGTGGCAAAACTCTCAGATGCTTTTCTCCATCCTCTCCAAATAGTTGGGTTGTCTTTGGCTTCCCTTGTTGCAGAATAAAAACATCGAGTGAATGTGGTTGCCCCTTCAAACGGTCCCAAGAGTGTGCCTTGATGACTTTCTGTATGCCGCACTTTAGCTCAGATGCCCAGTGGATTTCCATGGGAAAAAAAAGGGGCATCCTTTTTTGGTTGATTGACTTTAAAGGGGAACCGTTCCCCAAAACAAGACAAGAAGCAAAAGGGGCGCCACTGGGCAACTGGGTCAGGGCTATTGCATAGGCCTCCTTGGCTTTTGACACGAGGCCCGCCTGGGCCAGGGCCACCTCGTGGAAACCGCTCGACATCACCTGGCTGACCCAAGCCAGCGACTCAACGGGCGAGTGACATCCTCCAACTTGCCGATGAAACAGGCGAGTCAAAAGGGAAACGGGAGATTTCAAGAGTAGAACCAGCACGGTTCACAAAGCATTGGGAGTCGTCGCACCTGAGTTGTGTTGGTCCATTTGGGTGTGCCTTGTTTGAGGGTACCTTTTTGAGGTTGCTTGAAGGGAATTCAAGGGAACTCTTGTTGCTCACCTCATTCAGAGAAATATCTCTGCCGCGCTATCCTGTTGGACAAATGGATGACCTTGGTGCATGATTTGAACCAAACTGAAAAAAGTGCCATCTGATTTCAACCAAACTGACCGAAATGGACACCTATGGTCACATTCCCTTGCCCTTCCGCTTGCCTGCAGGACGTGATGTAGCGATCGCATCAGCATCCAAAGCTCGGCCTGCGGAAGATTTGCATTGCGGTCATCAAACGCCACAGAAATCAATTCTCCACGCCCCAGCGAATCCACCAAAACCGTTTAAGGTCTCACATGGCCTTGGCCAGAACTTGAACCGCCACCCTGTTTGGCCTTAAGGTGTAAGCCCGTGGGGGTCTTGAAGATTGGATTGCGCGGTCCCTAATTTCATCATTTCCTGTCTCACTGACACTACAACTCACGCGCCAAGATGGCGAATCATTCGGCCCGCTGCCTGGACTTGCGAAGTCGCCTGCCGTTGACAAGAGCACAAGCATGCAAGCGCCACGGCAAATAATCAAAATGGCAGATTCCCGCACCAATTTCTAGTTGAGACCGTCCCCAAGGAAGTGGCTCGGATGGGGAAAGGCAGCACAACCTTCAAACTCCTCTGATGCAGGCAAGGGAGGAATAATAGTCTCCAGTTGTTCAGGTACACGCAGAGAAATACTGCTGGTGTTGTTGGTCATAAGCTTCTTGCAAACTGTTTATCAAGTACTCAGGATAGTCACAAGGGCTTCAACAAGCGGGTACCTCTCTTAAGACGGCCTCAACGATTCTCTGCACAAGCAGGTTTTCCCCAAAAAACAGCGCATGTGCTAACTGAGGCCACGGCGTCTGGCTCCGACTTAGATGCCTGCACAGCCTGAAACATGCGCCGCAAAATGTCGAGCTGCCCTCAACTCTGCTCCAAAAAAGGCGCGGACTCCAGGAACGGACCACATACTGTGAGTGTTTCATGTGCACGTGTTATTCGGTGAGCTGCTGGCATTGAAGCATTTGTGACTGGAACATGTTGGTGCATAGAAGCAGCATGAAATACTGTGGACCGTTGATGAATTGAAATGGTGCTGCATAATTCACGCATTACATGAATATTATTATGTAAATTAGCTGCATCAGAACAGGCAATGATGTGCAACACGGACACCTCACTGGTTCAGTAAAAAAGGGAGCAAAGTGCACAAGCCATAGACATGTCATGAGACAATCCAGGCAAATTGAAACACAACTCTGTGTAAGATGTAGGAGATGGGCGCTCACACAACATCGATCAGGGACGCACACGAATGGGTGCGGCTGTTGCAAAATCACAGGCGATGTCCCTGTTGCAATTGAGCCCCGACGCACTGGCTTCGTGATATACGATGAATCATTGCCGAAGTGGACAGATCAACGTGTAGTCGACGATCTCTTCCGCTTAGAACACACAACAGCAGCCACAGCAATTCATCCCGAGAAACATTGCACAGCAGGTGCTTCGCCGCTATCAAATGCTTGCTACACTCTCCAGCAGCATCCAGCAGCACAGTCTCGGATGGTAACGAACATGTCAAGCCAGGGGCTTTGGGCACTGAACAGTCCACAGCACCCCCGCCCTTTGGCAGCGTGACATGCCGAATGACCCCGCCTCCGCAGAAGGCAGCGACATAGTGTGGGGCCTTGCTCAATGAAGCCTGTGAAAACCCTCTGCATCCCCGTTTCATCTGGGGGTCGTCTTCCGCAGCCTTTTCCTGCCAGCCACACAACACTTGTTTGATTATGATCCATAGTTTGTGAACCTTAAGCAATGTGAAATCATTTCAAAAGAGATGCCAGTCGTGAGTTGAGGCTGGAATACCTCAGAAACCTGAGCCGAAGCTGAGAAGAGCGCACAAGGCCCAACACCCCGGAGGACAGCAGCAACCTTTGCACTCGCTGCGCCTGCACGACTGGACGCTCGCTGGGAAAGAGCATCTGGGTGGATGTGATCATTTCTGCGTGCATTATGGCGTGTAAGCCGCTAAACATTGATCCATGCAGGAATGTGCATACAATTGTATACAGTGTATGCATTTATATACACACACACACATGTGCCACACATACATATATAAATTCATTCACATTAAGATACATACTACGTAATATGACCTCCCCAGGTTTTCCAGGTGGGGGGAGGTGCGACATCCCTCGCCTGCGAGTAGGGGCCGATGCACGCCATGGCCCAGGTGGAGATGGATTGAACCCGCAGACTGTCCCGCGCGGTGACGCCTGCGCCAGCTGGCAGGCGTCCAGTCCGTGGCTTAATCGGGGTCTCAGGCTGGAAAGATCAACCATGCTTGGCGCCCAAGAAAAAAAAGATTTAGAGAAGCTGCATCAAGACACAATCACAAAACCAAGTACAGTGTGGTACATTGCGGGATTTCCTCTGTTTCCTTAGCTTCAAGGGCATATTCAGGTTTGCATTTTGGAGGGATGGATGCTGAGTATATACCCCTTGTAGAAGTGGTATATAGCCCGTACCTCCAAAACTCATACTTGACAATGCGCTTGATACTTGTAGAGCATCAACCGTACCAGGCCCAACTAGATTTATGACCTGATCTCGCCCACAGGCCAAACATCCAGGAATTCACACAAACACAAAACAAACTCAATAATAATTAATCTGATTACTCGTAGTTGGGAAGCTTCAAGAAAAAAAACAAAAACTCAACCTTGACCTCGACCCCGGACTTGCACTTCAGGCTGAGCCTGGGAGTTGCTTTGTGAGTTTTCTGGCAGAGATTTGGTTGGGGAGGAAATCTGCAGTTTCCCGCAAGAAAACATAGCAGCTACTCAGAACCCAACTCAAATTGTGAGAAGCAACACACAGGTGCATTTCCCCCTCTCAATTTGAGTTTTTGTTGGTTTTTAGCCTTTGTCGAATCTTCGACTTGCTGCACTCTCAGAACCTGCACAGTACGTATAGGAAACTCTACATACTCCCTCAGACATTCGCACCTTTTTGGGCATCTGTAGCATCTCCAAGAGTGTTTAGGGCAAACGCAACATTTGTCCAACTCCTCCACACATACTTGACATGCTTAACATGCATTCCAATAAATCAGAGGGCAGCTGAGAATAATTATAGACTCTAGACAAACAAGGCCAACGTTAAAATGGACCACCCGTTTCGACTGCAAACCTCTCAAGCGCGTTTCAGCCGACCAAGAACCGGCCTTCAAGAGGCCGAAGAAGCAGCCGCAGTCGGACATGAAGGCCTGGTGGAGCTGATGAGGCTTACGTGAATGGCCGACCGCTTCGTGCTTGTAGTCAAACCAGGTGAATGCCCTAGGTGGGTTGTGAGGGTTAGTCCTGCTTGGAAAATGGGGGACTTGCCAAGCAAAAAATATCAACCACTTTCTATCTGGGCTGCTTATCACAGTACAAGCTTGATGAGATGCTTGTCAAGAAATCGGCACTCAGTGGCTATTGCCCCCAGCGCAAAAACTCGTCGCATGCTCTCCTAGTCGTGAACACACGTGCTGTGAACAGCTCCCTGTAAAGAGTCAATTAGTTCGAGGATTGGAAGCAAAACAGCGACAGCTTTGACATAAAGCAATGCACACATTCACCGCAAGTGAACCTTTTTGCTGCTTGGCAGGAATAAACTCATGCTCCCACCATGTCAAAAGTTAAAGGTCCTACAAAAGTGAATGCAAGCGGTTTAAAGTCGAGGCCAAGTCACCTAAGCGTGCGAAATGCGGCGACCTATCCAAATGGTTCCCAAGATTGACCAAAACCAATGTGAAAGAGCTCCCGTGCAGGACACAATGTCGCGTCTGTGTCCAGGCTTTGGGGTGAAAGTGAACTTTCCCTGGAGTGGAGATTTGTTGCGGGGGAAAAAAAAAAACACCCTACCAGGCCCTACCAGAGATAGGCACAAAAAAGAACACAAGGGAAGGTAGACATGAGGTTTGGGTTGGGACAATACCAAACAATCCTTGTCTAGGTGCCAAGGGGGGACCCAGCTTTCGACTTCCACTTTACCTTTTGCTGTACGGGCACGAAGAAGGAGGTTGGAGGCCACACAACCAGGGCCCTGGGGGTTTAACCCATCTTTGAACCCCCAAACTGCGCCTGGCGGAAGCGGAGTTTGAATGCAGACCCGGGCCGGCGGATTTACCACAAAGTGCCTGCTCGGATCCAAAAGCCATGGAGAAGCCACTCCAGCTGACACAAGGGGCTCCTATGAAAAGTAAGATTTATTCTCCGGGACGGATCTCACTCGTGGATTCCCCCTTCCAACTAAGAAAGGGGTCCCCTCAAGGCAAAGTCAGATTCGGTCTGTTACAAGGGGCCGGCACCTCTACAAAACGAAACATCAAACCAAAAATAGAATAGAAATTGTGGATCGACATGGTGGTTGTATGCAAGGTGTGGTTTGTGTCCTACACGTTCTCCCTAAGTCAACTGTCGACTCTGATATTTGCCAGTTGCTCCTTGCACAGCTTCTCACAAAAAAGCTTCAACCAGGGCGAACAACATAAATTGCTCTCCAACGACTAGCCCGAGCATCCTTTCACCTGCCTACCCCGGTATCGGATTGGGTGAATGGTGTCTGGGAAGTGGCAGCAACATGAACGATTCTGGAGACATGCTGAGGGTGTCCTAAAATGGGCCACATTTTACTGTTGAAATGGAGACCAAAAGCAAACCAATCATCTTGAACTGTCCCAAGTTTGGAAACACCCACTTGCTTAAGACGTTCTGCCAAGTCCTCATTTCACATCGCTCCTGCTGTAGACAGCGTTCACCGCATCGAAGCAATCCAGATCGGAGACCTGCAAACCCAATGTTAGGCACCACTTCAGGGGCCAAGCGCCGAAACCACAATCTCCATCGTTTGGGAAGGAAGGGGCTTCTTGGAAGGGTTCTGAGAACCTGTGGTGGTGGTGTCCGGGATCCTGATGCCTCCTCGCCTTGTCTCTGCTTGGTGGGATTACAACATGTCATCTTTTTGAGATCCTTGAAAAGGGCAAAAGCCAATTTGTCCGTCCAGCCACTACATGCGCGGTTGTTTTGAGCTATCAAAGCAGTTGGTAACAGCCCCAAGTAACCTTCACGTTTCAGGGGCTTCTACAGGGTCCTCCCAAAGATACATCCCAAAAATCACCTGGCTCACAAGGGGATCTTCAAAATCAGCCTCGGAAGGTGACTTTCAACATGGCCAAATGTGAACCCCCCCTTTCTGCGATTTCAGCAACCCTGTTCCTGACCTTACCCAGGTGCATCGCCTTGCGCGGGCGCGGGCCTGGACTTCTGCGAAGGCGGCCTCTTGCAGACTGCGCTGACAGGACGTCAGCCACTCCTGCACGGCGACCAGCAGCGCGTCGCACCTCTGGGTGTTCGGACCAAGAGTCCAAATTTGACTATGACCGGCTTGCTCCCAAGACCCTGGAGCAGACATTTGAAACCAAGGAGATCCACCCCATGTTTTACCCTTGCAGGTTGAATTCTGTCACCATGCTAATTTCGAGGCTCGGATCAATGGTTGGTGGACATCGGACCCGTGAAAAAGCTGTCCACCAAAGAGCCTCCATTGAAATTCATGCCCAAATACAATGGACTATCCACAGGCAACCAATACTGCTAAGCTGCCAAAGCTAACAGCTGCAATTGACAAAAAAAGGCCTTGAGCACCATCTGCTGAGTCCACCATGAGATGTCCCAACAATCTCAGGCAACAACCACCAAAGTTCATCCTCGACAAAGGGTGCTTTGGGGATGACATCTTCAACCTGCAACGAGTACGGTAGAGCATCTGCTCATCACTACTCCGTGTGCGCTTGGCGCCCTCTCGGGCACGGGCTGTGCCGCTGGATCCAAGCCGCCTGTGGAACGTCGGAAGCCACACACATCCACCAAAAGGGCAGATGACAGGTTTTTCCTGCCCACCACAAGGGGCACAAGTAGATGCGTTGTTGCTTGTTGTTGTTTTTCCGTCAGGTTCTATGGATGAAACTGGTCATGACTGGTAGATCGTTTTTGCTCAGATTCAATTTGTTCAATCGCTTGTTTGTCTGCGGCCCCCAACATGCCTGTCTGCTGCTTTGCCGAACCCAAAATCGAACACTTCCAAACAATGCCCGGGATCTTCTGGGCAAGATGGGATTGGAGGGCCTCAACAGTCATTGGGGTGGCACCAGTAGGAGTCACTGGCGCAGGTTGCCTGGATTTCAGATCCGACTTCCACAGATACACAAACGACGGCACCAAACAAACAACTGAACAAAGGCCTTGGCCTCGTTCCATACCAACCAAGGTTGTCGAGTTGTACTGACAGTTGGGAGTGTAGATCATATGGCCCCATATACTTATTATATAGTCACAAGAGGAGACAATGTAGCCTAATACCATCGATTCGTAAACAATGCCAGCAGGAACTAAAAAAGCCCATGAAACTTTGCCATGCTTGATGGTGGGTCACTTGCAATCTGTGGGGAATAAACCGTAGCACCTCATGACTCGTAGGCAGTGACGGGGGCCACCCAGATCCCTTTGGCCACGGTCTCGGTCCGGTCTGCCTGCATCGAGCTGCATAGAGGCAACATCCAGGGTGGATGTTGCCCAAAGACCCAAGCCTCCAACTCGCCTCAGAGGGACACTCAGTGGGACAACGAGTGTAATGCGGCTACTTATACATATTAGACTTATATTTCTGAATCTGTTCCTACAAAATCATCCTAAACCCAAAAAAACATGGCTGAGCAAATACAATTAAGCTCCTAAATGGTTTTGAAGTATCCCAAAACTCTCATTCAAAATATTTAGGCGCTTGCTGTACATTGACGGTGAACAGTTTTGGAAGATACTTGCTGGTTTGTCATCATTGGGTTGTTTGTTCCGTGCCTTGCAATGTTTCAATGACGGATCTTGGATGTTTCCAACATGTTTCGGAACTTGCATGTTTGCCGAGGAAGACCTTCCTTGCCTCAGAGACACGAATGCCACTTAGGACTCCATCCAACATACTTTCAGAGGATTCTGATGGACCTCAACTGAGTTGTCAGCAGGAATCCCTTTCTCGCGCTCCATTCAAATGAAGTCCACTGCTTGCGAGTTGTCAAAACTAACCGACCTCATAATCAGCAGCTCGCCTTTTAGACTCTCGTTAGATGGACTCCCCCCCAAAAAAACAAACAAACAAACAAGCAGCCTTCGCTGTTTGCAGTTTTCCCTAACGGCAGGCAAGGCGCTGCAGTTTGGGGGTGGCCTGGGCTCGACTTCCAGCGCTGGAAGTGGTGCCTCTCAGGACTTGGATATTCGAACGACTGGTAATTGTGTAGGGGTTAGCCATGGTTATGGGGGAAGTATTCCCAGTTGGCCCAGTTATAACCATGGTTCTATCCTACTGAGTGGTTGAATATCCACAAGTACGGAGGAAACCGAAGGCCCTTTGCCCCCCCCCCGCGGGAAAAGGTTCTGATGCTCAAGCTTTTACAGAAAGAACACGGTGGAAGGGGTGCTTAGAAAGGTATATGTTTGAATGTACAACTAGGGGCCCTAATGCCTCCCCTGATTGACATTGTCTTAGGGAAAAGGGGCTGGTTTGCTCTTGGTCTTGCAACACTCTGCAATGCTGCCAGATGGCAAAAGGAGGCTGGACTTCGAAACAAGTCCGTGAGTCTGCACGACTGCACTTGAACCTTCTCGCCTTGCTGGGTATTCTTACCACCAGTCGAATGACGTCGAATGACCCAGGGTCTGTGGCAGGGTTGCGAAGTGTCGCGAAGTTTTGTGACATCCAAGTGGGCCATCCGGGTGATTGCTTTGTCACCTTCACAGAAATTCACTTGGCATCATAGAAGGGGGCCAAGCTCCTCCCCCAAATTCCCACAACTATGGTCCGTATCGATCTTGATGATGATGGGCAGAGTCATTTTGCCCTGATAAAGCTGCTATGCCCATGCTGATGAGGGCGCAGCATGCGCAGCTAAGCACGCTGACCATGTGTCAAAATCAAGTTTCAATTTGACCTGCCTAGGCCAACGCTGCAAGCCGCTGTCCAGCAAATTGCATCCTGGCATTGTGACCTCTGCTACGTTGTGGAAAGCAGTGTTGAAGGCTTCAAACCAATTACGCTTGCAACACTGGCACTTAGGGGACATGAACAGAGCAATTGTGGCCTTCTATGACCTGCGTGTCACCCTTTGCGAACATTACATGCCACATTTATTTGTCTTCCCATGACCCGGTGCATTTTCTCGTGCATGGTTTGGCATGTCAGAAACAGCAGTTTTAGCGTGGGATGATTGGATGACGTCGTTCACTGGCTTCGCTTATCTGACCATGCTGGGCCAGCACTCACCAATCTAAGTGGTCGTTTCAAACAAACAGGAGCCCCCCAAGGCGCCAACGGCTGACCATGGTACCCGAAATCGCGCGAAGGCTTCCTCCTGGGAGACCAGTTCCGCCACCTGCTCGGCATTCATCTGCCTCAAATGGCAGGCCGCCAGTTGACGCCAAAAGACTTGGTCCCCGGCGAGGCCTAGGTGTTCCTGGCAAATGGTTGAAACCAAATTGAAACCGGTGCAAATGTCAACCGAACCGACTTAAAAACCGCACTGCACAAGACTTGAGCGAACTCTGGACACCCAGTGATTCCAACCACCCACTGAAAGTCGGTCTCATGTGTCTGGAACCTCTAATGCTGCATCGTATTATATGATATGGGGAGAGTGCCTGAAGACAACTCAACCTCCTTTTTTGATTTTGATTTCACTTTTGAGTCCAAAAATCAGAGTACCAGACATATTAATTCAGCGGATGCCCATGCCTTCAAGGTCGCCATCTGAGCGCGGCTCGGGAACGTGTCTTGGTAGTACTTCAGGGAAGTGTAGGCGTCCAGTACCGGGCACCTCGAGAAAAGCAGCGACCCTACGTTTGGAAGTGGCAAGCGGGCATGCCTTCACAATGACAAGGACCCTTATGTTATGTTGTTTTTGTTTACAGAATACTTTTCAGCTATAACCTTATGATGGGTTGTCACTCTGTTCTCCTCCTCGGCCTTAAGGCTTTCAGTGTTGTCAGTTGTGTGTCTATCCAACTTTCGGCTCGGGTTCCTCCAAGTCGGCTGCAAAGTGTTTTCAGCGGGTGTACGCCTACCTACAGAATTGTTCAGTTGTCTTCTCGTAATCTTCCCATAGTTTGCCATAGTTGTCCCGTAGTCTTCCCAAAGTCTTCTCACAGTCTAGCAGTCTTCAAGGAGCCTTTGCATAGTTCCAGCAGCCTATTTTGCTGACGCGTAGTAACACTTCTCGCTACTTTGCAACGGTCACGAGCTTCGACTCGCGTTTTGTTTCTGTCTCCGTCAACGTGTCCCCAATCACACGTGGACCTGGGCTTCCCTGCTGTTGGTGTTTTTGTTGTCATTCTTGCTTTGCGGTGGTATTGAATTGTTCCTTGACTTGAGGGCCGTGCTTTTATACACCGAGGCACGTAGTATTTCCATCCGGCATGGAACATTGTCGTGGCACCGTCACATATCTGGTCACTTGCTCATGCATCAAGGCGAAGGTGCAGAATCCGGCAATGCAGAATCCTGGTTCTTGATTTCGCGGGGTTATCAAACTAGGGGCCCTCTTTGAGACTCTGGAATGACTTTGCACCGTTCTTAGGGCTGCCATGCCCACAACTATGCCCCCAAAAACATGTCACGCGGTTTGGCATTGAGTTCTGAGCCCCAACCACAAGCACATCCCTTGCGGCTTCACCAGTGACATGAGCAGCTGTGGGTTACAGCATCCAGCCAATCCGCTCATGCAAACCACCCACAATCATGCTTGAGGTCCACAGCTTGTGCCCCCTCAACCACAAACCGCATTGGTTTAGATGCTTGTCCAAATCATGATGCAAACTCTGCCAGGCAATCCCAATTAATCAGTTTTGACTTAGAACCTGAAATGCAACAGGATGTCAACATTCGGGTGATGCCTCCGCAAAGCGACTAGAACTGCCCATCCCACAGGCAACAAATGGCATCCTTGGGCGAGGCACAGCACGGTGCGTCCGCCGTCACCATCCTGCGGACAGTGCGCTGAACATGTGCTAACCTCATACGGCCTAGTAGGGGTGTGAACCCTTCGAGGCCATCCCGAGTAAGAAACGACTTGGCTCAAGTTGGCAGTATGGAGTCATGGCATTGCTGCAACTCTGGAATCTGGTGCTGTTACTGTTTGGGGGGCCCCCGCTCAAGAGCCGGAAAGCACCTTCATGACAGAAAGCTTGATTGACAAGTCCAGGGTATTCAATCAGTCTCACGGGTCAAAGTAACTCAATATTAGATGCATTACCACATTGCAAAAAGGGACCCTCAACATAGGGATCTCATTCAAAGCAGCCCGAATCAGCTGTGGCTTAATGCTTACTCTCAGATCCAGTCCTTGGCTTCCAAGACAGGAGGCTCCCTGGCGAGCCAACGGGACAAGAATCACTGCCATGTGTGAGCCAAGTGGTAGAAAAACAATCCACCCCTAAAGAATGAGAGCGGAAAACCCTTGACACGAATTTGACGAATACCTGAAGAAACCCTCCAAGAGGTTGCGCAAAGCTTTTTCGCCAGGGCTTCGTTCAATCAATCAGGGGATTTCATGTTGGAGTCTGTACCATACCAAGCGTCAAGCGTCAAGTTTGAAGCGTCACGTGCTATGCGCGGAGCCTCTCTATTTATGGGCGGCTTCACATTTCCGGGCGCGACAAAATCTGACAACGGCTTGTCTTGTGGAGTAGTTCAAACTGTTGCTTGCTCTGGGAAGCTTTGCAGTCGAAGGCGTGCCTTACAGTCATCAATGCAACCCCGTCTGCATCTCCATCAGGATGCGCGGAGGCCTCAACAAGCAGAGGGAAAGGGAATGAGAGCCCATGCAGGACAATCGCATACAATCGCACTAAGAAAACTACAGCTGTGCTCCATCTTCAACCCTTCAAGGGATGCCTTTTTGTGGTTCAGTAGGAGATTGGAACATGAAGGGACAAGCAGCCATTGGTGCTGAACATTGAGCAGAATAAGGAGCCGGCTTGCCACGCACCTCAGGCATTCTGGCTATCACAGTTTCCGTCAGCAAGCAACAGCCCGGCCTTCAGGTAGGCTGAGGCGTCCGTGCTTGTACAAGGGAGCGTCAAAGACTGGCAGATTGGTGAACGCCAAATGATGAGCTGCCAAACGCCACATGAATGTTCGAGTGCAAGGCCTGAGACCCCTATCTGTGAGTGACTGCAAACAAGCCAAAGCTCTTGTTGGGACTGCCGGCTGGCTTTGGCCGGCCTCCCACCGGCTAAAAAACTTTAGCATGATTCAGGAATCACAGATTCCCTTACCGAAAAAACATCACACATTTCCGGCATATCCCATTCCTACGCGCAAGACGGTGAGGCCATGCACGTCGCACCCCTGCCTGCGCTTTCGTACTCGCCCCCTTCCCCGCAAACGTGAACACCTAGGACAGGGTGAGACTGCGAGCCAAAGCAGAAGACCAGATGCTGGATCCAGCTGTGCGACATATCGGATTCGGTCTCAAGTTCCAGCCGCGGAAAGCCATCTACATCAAGCAACTCGAAGGGACACGCTTGTTCGAAGGCAGTGCCGGTTGGGTTTTTGGGTTTTTGCAAATATTGGGCTTCCTTGTGACCTGTCAAAAATGAGTGCCCGATTTTGAGACAGGATCCCATTTCATGTTAATCCTTCGAGACCAACAAACATCATACCGAGAAGCCGGCCCCATTTCTTGCCCAATTGCGTCAGGTGCGCCTCAGCCAACTCTCAGAGTCAAGACTCGCGGAACAACGAGACCCGTCTTTGGTGGGTAACCAATTGAACAAAGGGGAACACCGGTGCGACGCGCGACAGGGCTCATGCAGAATGAAGCTTGATGCAACCAAGCTTCAGCGAAGGTAGGGTCAAGGATTGATTTGCCTTAGTGCATTCTCTCATCCGTCATTGAGTTGATCTTCACCATGATGTCCCCATGTTCTGCTGCTTGTCACGCTAAGCTTGAAATTCACACCTCCCCACGTCTGGATTCCACGACCAAACCACTCCAAGTATGCACACACACAGATCTCCACCAACGAATCTAAGTGGTCGACCGATATGCCGGTCATCGAGTCCCATGCATGCAACCTGCGAGACGAGAGGACTTGATGGCTGCCTGAACAGTTCCAATGGGACCATTTTGTGGGCCCTTCTAGGCGTTCCACCCTTAAGCGGAAGCAGGATTCCAAAACTAGCCCGAACTTCTCTGAATCCTCTCTGGAAGCTGCGCAGGCGATTCTTACTGACGCAATTGCTTCCTCGGCAGCTGGAGGGCGCTGTGCTGTGCTCATTTGTCCGTTTCACGAACCTAGCCGATCATGTTTCCCAACAGAAACTTCGTTCAAAAGTGAGTGGTACCATCTGCCATAAGGATCAAGGATTCATTTTGATCAACCCAGTATGCCAATCATGGCCTGCATAACGCCAGCCTTCACGATGCGAGCATCTAGCTGCCCGTCGATCATCTGCTGCAAGAGCAGCGGCTGCTCCTTTCACTGGGGCTCTGGCAGTCCGTCTTTGTGTCCAAACCACAGACACACGAACACTTTGCAACGAGCTTTTGCCAGGCTCTGGCATTCAGTCTTATGTCAGTCTCCTGCCTCCCTTTGAAAACAGTCTCCAAACTGATGCCAAGGTTTTGACACATACTCTGGTGTGCGGATGACAATTGCCAGATTTGTCAAAAGGCATCAGCAGGATGTACCTGATTGATCCACATTGCACACGCGTGCCACATCAAACGCTGATGACATCTGCCTTGCTCCAAGCTGTTTCCCAGTGATTGCCCAATTCAGGTGCCACTGTTCACTCAGCATTTAATCTTGCCAATTGTGCAAGCTTTCAAAGCATTCATAGGGGTCGGGTGTATTATATGGGCCAATCTCTGGGCTTTGGGTTTACTGGCGGTCACTTGGGAACGTGTCAATACTAGGACACACCCCATGTTTTTCTTGCTTCCTTGTCTCAGGGTTCTCCGTGCAACATCACCCCCGTGGGATGGTCTGCTAAGTAGCACTCTGATGGGCGGTTCTTGCGTGGATTTGTCCAATTTGTTCAAGGTAAGTAGGCATTAGCCTTTGTTGTACAAGAAAGCAACAGTAACACCAGGTGCACGACTCATGTTGGTCTTCCCTTAGACAAGCCAGTGACCGTCTGTCGCGGTTTCCATGGCGGCCAACACCGAATGAATGGATCCTGGCGCCACATGAAGGCCAAAACCTTCAGGTTCAAGCGGGCGCACACGTTCTCCACGCGGCAGCGCTGGTAATCACCTCACCCGACTCGGCTCGACTCGGCCGAAGGGACTAAACACATGTTGCCTCGTGCCCAGGATGCATATTCAAATCGACCCCACGCTTGTTGGCCTCCTGCTTGTTGGCCTCCTTTACAGTAGTCTTCCCGGAGATAAGCTCAAAAACGTTCGAAGGGCTGAATTTGGAGGAGCAAAGGGCTGGAAACATGGTGGAAGGGCCCCTCGCCAACCAGCTCTCTGAGAACCACCGGGGCTGGTGGGAGGATTCCATATGATTCCCTCATTGATTACTCACAACAAGCAACAACAAAGAAACGAAACCCTCAGCCAGGCCTTCCGGGGAAAAACAAAAAGTTTCCATGCAAACGATGCGCAAACGGACACCAGTGGCAAAAAACAACAAAACAAGCCACGACGGTCCAAATATGCATTTCTCGCAATGGACATGGGACAGTCAGGGAGATTTGCTACTTTTTGTGGGAACTTCAGTGAGTCCTCCCATGCATTACATAACATTTCGACCAAACCGCGTCACAATCAACCCTGGCAAAAGCAAAAGTGGTCTATGCAGCCATCTTAAGAATCCACACATCAAATTCCCGGACCTGTTTATGGCTGAGACTGTCTCTTGCCAACCTCATCCTGACCTCGTTTGTTGATGTCGCCCATTCTCAGCCACACTCAAACTAGAACAAATACCCTTTTGCACCAACTCTACTTCACCGCCCTGGATTCAGGCATCTCCAGGTAGGGGGCCTTCCTTCATGGGGCCCGGCCCAAGTTCGTTGTACACTCTGCGAGCCAATGCTGGTGCAAACATCCAGGCGATCAACGGTCCCATCTCTCGGTTTCGAGGCGCTGAGGATGGCCCCGCAGCTCACCGCCTCGAGGTCTGGGAAGGCCTGGGACAGCCCGAGTCGACCGCCGGACTGCACCCATTCACCTGGATAGGTCTAGGCGAAGGAGACTAGCCTCTCGTTGGTTGTGTTTCCAAAGGAGCACTCCACCAAAGCTTTGAACCTTGCATGACCAACCTTTGATCCAGGATTTCAACAACCAGCCACGACCTTGTCAACTTGGAGCAATCATGTTGAGGGGTGCTCGCCCCCCCCAAAAAGTAAATAAATAAATAATAATGTTCATCTCCAAAACGGACAATCCCCCATTCAGCAGCCAGGGGTTTGTTGCTGTTGGGTGTTCCCATTGCTGGATTGTGTGTCGCAAACCGCTCGGATCCGATCGATCTTCGGTCCTGCAGCGCGTCTTGCAGCAAGAGCATCAGGTCTTCCACCTGCCATTCACTCAGCAAGCTTCTCCAGGGGATCGATTTCCCCTAGAAGCTCGGCTACCAGCTCGAGTTGGGAAGTTGCATGTTTGTCTAGGGCAGACAGGCACAACATGAATTGGTTCACCCTTTCCCAGTTCAGAGCCCAGTTTCAGCGCTCGCAAGTTGAGAGACCAAGGCTCGTGAAAGGCAAAATTGTACGGTGGATTCCAACTCAATGTGGCAGAGCAAACCAATCGCATCCAGCCAAATCAAAGGTTCCAGTGTCATGGTGGATCCGCAAGATTGAGTCGCATAGGGTTGTCCTTTTTCCTCGTTGCAAGCACTAGGCGTGGATGAAGCTCATAGGCCCATCTTGCCCATAGAGTTGCGGAGCCGCTCCAAGTCCTCCTGCGACAGGCGCTGGATGCCCTCCAAGGCTTCCTAGGCTCAAGACCGGGCGAGACTTGCCGCGTACCCCGGTCAATGGAACTCGCCGCCAGCAGCGCTTGTTCTGCGTCACATACGCATACACATGCACATGGGGCTGCAGACGTATTGCCAGAGTCACTTTGAGTAGATGTTGTCGACTTCGTGCTCTACATCACGGGTTCCCCCTATCAAGGCGAATTCACAGCCTTTGTTCTCGGAAGTTCCCCGTTGACAGGCTTTATGAAGGGAACCAAGGCCATGGCCCACATGTTGGTAAGTTTTACCCTGGCACATCTGACTGTCACAAAGGCCACGGGAAGAGCCAACAAGACCCGCTGGCAACCTCTTGCGGCAAGGCGTCTTTGGCATTGGAAGCACCAACCTCAGCGCCCGTGAAATATGATTGACAAAGTCTTGGCGAGTCCCCGCTCTTCTTTGGGTTCTTCAAAGGCGGCACAAATGACACCAGGCCCCTCAAAGAGGCCTTACTGCTGATTGACCCTCAGCATCAGATTCCCCCTGCTGCGCCAACACGCCCTTCAAGTGATGCCAAACAAAACACTAGTTCTGTGTTCGTAAACCATCAGCGAACAAGGAGTCGTCTGCAAGCCGGACCCCAAGTGGTTGGCTTCCTGTTGGTTTCTGGTCCCTATTTTGTGGCACACCCATGGCTGACAACACTGGGGTTCCACCGCACCGCTGAAGGACCCCAGCCATTCGCTAGAAGTGGGGTCGCTATGCAATTGGGTGTATCAAAATAGGGCAACCCCACAAACCAATGGAGTCCTATGATTTTCCTTTGAAACAACCCAGCAAGAAGGCCGCCCTCCAAAATATGCCATGACGTGATCGCCAGGCGGCCACAGTCGCCACGACGTCCAAGGACTTCTTTGGCAAGGCCTGGGCGCGCTGGGCGATGTCCTCGCGAGGCGAGGCACCAAAGGTCTCGATGGGCGATCCACTGGATCTGGAAATTGACCTCTTGAGGTGCACCCCTGAGGGTTGCCGGAAAACGGAAACCAACTGGATGGCGCTGGGAGTCATGGTCACCTTGTTGAGGTGCATCCCTTGGGGTTGCAAAATGGACACCAACGGGATGGCGCTGGGCATGAGTCGTGAGCCATGTCGAAGTGGCCCCTTTTTGGGGTGGCTTCTAAGCCGAAAGGAAACCAGCCACTCCCAGGTCCTCACACTTTGAGGTCTCGCCTCAGCAAAAGGCGGACAGCACATGAGACCACCAAAGCCCGACATGGGAAGGCACGTTTATTTTGGATGATCTTGAGTTGAATTGGTGAGACCCTTTGGACATCATTTGCATGGGAGTTTCATGTCCACCTAACATACGTTCAAGGCTTCAAGGTGTTCATAGCATTAGCCATGTCGAGCCAAAGCCCACTGGCTGCTGCTGTGACCGTCAGCTACCCCCAAGACCCTGGCCTGCTTCCGGAGTCCCGAACTGGTTCAGCCAAAAACATTATCCATCCGACACCGGACTTGCGAACGGGCTTGCCATAAACAAAAGCAGCCAGCACATTTGAGTCTGGGTTGTCTCACGCCAGGTCAGTTAAACATATTGCTTTGGCACCATTGTTTGGCACACACTGTGGAGAACAGGTTTTCAATGCCAAGGTGCTCAGCATAAAGGCGATGAACTCCTGCGAGTTCGAGTTAAGCGGCGCTTGGATGCAGCCACGTCAGGGGTTTATATGTACCAGGAGCTTTACCCTGTCATGCCTTCAACATCCCGGTGCTGTTTCGGGAAACACAATTTATGAATGTAACTGGGGAAATGCGTGTTATAGTACCCTGGCTGTGGTTATAGGAAACTTATATGGGTTGAGCATCCAAGTATGCTTCGGATGCGGAATTCTGCGGACCCAACGGACAGTCTTTGAAACAACACCTTTTTTGGAACCAGTTTGGCATAACTTCAAGATGAAATCATACAGCCTTTTTTTTCTACGACCATGCATGCTTCAATGAGGCGGTCTGAAAAAAACACCTCACTGCTCCTGGAAAGACATGGAACTTGCCAAACAAACATGGAACTTGCCCCCTCCCCCCGGTCCTGTGCGAGTCTCTCCTCTTTGGTCTGCAGCTGCGTCTCGGCGTCCCCGAGCTGCCGAACTTTGGCTTCGCGCTCCTGGCGGTCGAACCACCTCAGTCGCGGAGAGGGCGGAGGTCATTTGCAGCTGAGACTCCAACCAGTTATTGGGGGAAGGGGGGGGGGACTTGCCCATAGTATGCCGCTGCCAATCGTGATGGAACCCCCCAAACCTGCTTTGTGACTTAAAAGCTTTGCCAAAGGGGATCTGTGCCAGCATCGATCGCCCAAACCGGCTGTTGATCTCCATTTCAGTTTCCGGGGACCAACATTAGTCAATACGTTGGGGGTGGAAAAAGAGGGTCGCTACATCTGCGCCAAACTAATTCCACAACGGGAATTCATGGAATTCCAACCTAAAAATATGCACCAAAGCATTCGACACTGGATTGAGAAAGGATGAAGTCCGCACAGCATCATGAAGGTTCAGTCCCTTGGTGAAACAGTTGGAACATACTCCAGCTGGACTGGACGTTATTTGAATTCCAACCAAGCGATTTGTATCAAATTGTGCAACTGGATGGACATAAGACAGCCCCATGTTGTTGAAAGGCCCTCCCCGGGTGAGGTGCAGTTTAGCCCCTGAGCAAGCCAAAGCGACATGAGCAGCTGACACGAGTACTAAACATTACAATGAAACGATACGAGAACCGCCAACAATTATACTCATCAACCTGCAAAACCCATAGCGGACCACGCACATCACACAGATAATCGACAACAACACAATCATGCCACTTGGAGTTAATCTACAGGATCAGACTAAAAGGGCGCTGAGCCTCGAAAAGGAACACCCTGGAAACCAAAAGGAAACAACCCATTTCGTTTTCTTTGGGGGGTTCCCGATTTTGACAGGTTGCTCAAAAGGCTCTTTACACGGGCTGGTCCTTGGGGATAAAACACACAAACAATATGATATTTCCCACATGGGAAAATGTTGCCAAGGGTCATTTGAAACCAGAAATATAGATCGACCCCCACATACCCATTGAATTTCTCTGCCGGGCATCCAGTAAGTCAGAGCCATTCGCCGGCGCTTGGAAGGCAGAACCTGGGCACTTGGATGGGCCCGGAAATGGCAAAAGAGATCTCTGGCCAGACTGAACAACTGGTGAAATACAGACACATACTGTGAGCAAGTGACATAATATTTTGATCAGTAAAATAAACCCAGGCAAGTGCCGTCACCGTCGCTTGCTGAGCGTACACCATCTTTTCGCGGGCAAATGTTGGTGAGCATTGACCGTCGTTCACATCAAAACCACACCCCCGACAGGAAAACTGGTCGCCTCGTTTTGAGGGCCCAATGCACTTTGTCAAAGCAGCGGAATGGACCTTCAAACATTAGCATGGAAAACTCGCCAGTATGACCTCAACAACAGCTCAAGGTAGCCTTGCTCACCTGGGAGTCAAACTTAACATGAGGATTCAGGTACAGTATGCTTCTAGGAGGGGTGCTGTCAGATAGCAGGTCAAGGCTAGGGGAAGAACTTCTCTGAAACACTTGCGCTGCCCCCATCCTCGCGCCTCGTGGGGAATGCGATCGGCCCAGAATAGCACCATGCGCCCGGTGTCGGGCATCAGGTCTATCGGAGGCTCGCCTCAGGTGGAACATGCGTGAGCCTACTCTTAACCCAAAGGCGTGATGAAAACTAGGCCCCCCCTGCTTTCTGTTCAAAGTAAGCCCCCCCAAAAATCGGGGCGAAACTGATACGTGACATCACGGAACCCCCAACAAGAGGGTGTCCAACATGACATCACGTGAGATCTACCTCTGAGAGTTGCATGTTCTTTGGGGGGCTCTGAACCTGGGATTTGAAGCTGAACTCTTTCACCATGGAAGTGATGGAAGTGGACACCAGGGCTCAACACAAAATCCCAGAGCACACCCACCCCCCCAGCCGCCCCCTTGGGAGCTTCCCGATTGAGGTGAAGCAACTGGGGCCCCGGCCATCGAGAAACATCCGCAACTGTCCACCGTCCTAGTCACAAAGACCCTTCTCGTGTTGACCATCGGCAGGACAACCAATTGGTGGCAAATTCAAAGGGAATATATATATATATATATAATTATATATATATATGTGTGTGAACATCTCTCTATATATATCAGATATATTTGTGTAAATAAATATATATATAGTCATATTATATATATATATAGTCTAATTATGCCTCTGAGACACTGGGTGAAGTCCAAGGAAAACCCCACTTTTGGAGGTTCAAAGGGAAGTTGACGGAGCCTTGCTGCCGGGGCGTTTGTTCGGCGTGAGACTACCCGGCTGTCCCCGGTCAATTTGGCGAGCGCGTCCTCTGCCTTCCAGGGATCACCGGTGTTGAGGTACACCTCGGGCCACGAGAGCAACCAGCGTGACTCACAAAAAAAATGGACTGATTGCTACATTTGGGGTCTGAACAAATCAACAAAATACGTGCTATAGAAACTTTAGAAGAAAAGAAGATGGGCTGTTTGGGCAGCCTGGCTTTGTTTGAAAGGAAACCATTGTTCATGTTGATTTTCTCAGTGGATTGGATTATCATGAGGTGATCTTTCAAATGGAACCTAAATGAAATCATTTAGCCAACCACGACTTCATTGCTCATAATCCAACAAATGCATCCACGAAATAATTGCTTCGTAGACCCCGAAAGTTGTCTTGTGCTCTGTGAATCGTACGCTCATGTTGCTCTGCACAAAAGAAACACACTTGGAGGGTGCAAAAAAGTAGTATCTGATGAGTAACCGTTCACACGTCTCAGCTGAGTTGAGTTGACAGCATCGGGTGTAACCTGAGAAATGTCTTTTTGGACAAGTGATACAAGTGCATCCAGTCGGCGATGGATGTCAATACTCGACCGTCTTGATTGGGATTGTCCACGTGCTTCTGGAAGCGAGATCCATTCTCCTGAGAATAGGCATGGTATCACGTGGATACAGTGCGGCTGAGCTTCTCTCATGCGACACGTCGACACGTCGTCTGACTTGTTGGCAGAACGTCATGCACATAGAAACACTGCCATCAAGATCAGCCTGCTGTACCCCTTGCAACTCGTCAATCGTCGTACTTGCGATGCAGCTGAGGCGCGTAGATGCTGACCTTATGAGGAGCTGAGCATCGCTGGTTAAAACAGCGCCAGTCCCCAAAGACCTGTGTGGGCTTCCTTGTGGAAATCCCATCCCCCAACAGAGATTCCAGTGGACATCCGCAGAAGAACTCCCATAATTGCAAACGCACCAAAGTTGGCACTGAGCTTCAGTCTGCTTGCTTTTCGGAGGAAAGCAGGGCTTTAACTCGTCCCTGGACCTGCAAGGGATGACTTGACCCCTTGTACCTCCGATTTCCAGCAATGCGATGTTGAAATTCAGAACAAGTTACGTAGCAGAATTGCTCCAATGGCACGGCTTTTAGCCAAAGGGGTTCCCAGTCGTCTGCGCAGCCTTGCCCACGCCATGGACAAAACTGGCTATTTTGAAACGAAATAAAGCAGCTGCCACTGGTCACCATTTGAGAGCCTGTTGTTTGCGCAACATGACAGGCAAGCTGAACCCTCTGCCAATGCATACATGCACCATCTATCTCTACATTCGGATATATGTTTCCTAGAAGCCTTGGGATAGCCCCCTGTTTAAACGGTTTGGGCAGGGGAACACAGATCCTTCTAAGGGTTGATCCGTTCAACCATCGTTCGATTCAAGACCCGCCCTTTTACCCTGGGCTGTTGGTGAATTTCTGAAAACAAATAGGTCCCTGGGGATGTTTTTAATCGGAAACCTTTGAATTCATGTCCACCAGCCATGTCTGAGGATAGGATTCTGTTCACCATCTGCATCCCATCCAACATCCTTTCCGCGGGGCCATGGCATCGGAGCGCTCCGCCAAGCCAGCCAAGCGAGAGACACGCGAAGACAAGCCCTTCAAGATGAAGTCATCCTGAAGCCACGGTGCTGTCTCTCTGTGGTGTGTGTGTCTGTGTGTGTGTGTGTGTGTCTGTGTGTGTGTGTTTGTGTGTGTGTGTGTCTGTGTGTGTGTGTGTTTGCGTGTTTGTGTGTTTGTGTGTTTGTGTGTTTGTGTGCTTGTGTGCTTGTGTGCTTGCGTGCTTGTGTGCTTGTGTGCTTGCGTGCTTGCGTGCTTGCGTGTGTTTGTGTGTTTGCGTGTTTGTGTGTTTGTGTGTTTGGGTGTTTGTGTGCTTGTGTGCTTGTGTGCTTGCGTGCTTGCGTGTTTGTGTGTTTGTGTGTTTGTGTGCTTGTGTGCTTGTGTGCTTGTGTGCTTGAGTGCTTGTGTGCTTGCGTGCTTGCGTGTGTTTGTGTGTTTGCGTGTTTGTGTGTTTGTGTGTTTGTGTGTTTGTGTGTGTGTGTGTGTGCGTGCGTGCGTGCGTGCGTGCGTGCCTGGGTGGGTGGGTGGGTGGGTGGGTGGTGTGTGTGTGTGTGTGTGTTTGTGTGTGTGTGTGTGTGTGTGTTTGTGTGTGTGTTTGTGTGTTTGTGTGTTTGTGTGTTTGTGTGTGTGTGTGCGTGTGTGCGTGTTTGTGTGTGTGTTTGTGTGTGTGGCGGGGTTGAGCAGGGATCCTCACATTATACCTAAACATGGCCTTGTAAATGGTGGGTTCCCTTTATTTTGGTGAAAAAAGCCATGTTTCAAATGGGCAAAATGTATCTTTTTAGGAGCCCTGTTTGAGCCAACTCGATTTCAGCCACTGCAGATACGAGACGTGTGTTGGAGTCATGTGTCCACCTGCTGCAAAACATTCAAGGACAACATGTTCAATGCCAACTGTATGACAGTGAACCATGCAGTGTAGATATATGAACTGTTGGAGCACGCCAAATGGGGGGGGAAGAAGGGGCAAGCGATATGCCGCGCAACTGGTCACAAAGAAAACAGAGCCAAGCCGAGATGCCACGCAGTTCATCGTAGTCGTCAAGCGAGGAAACCCATGCGTTGACTTGTCCTCGGTCCAGCGCCCGAGCGGCTTCTTCCTCTCTCTCACGGCTCTCTCAAAGCTGGCCGTGCGAGATGCAATTGGACATATATTATGGGTGTGTCCGTTTTCCAGGAACGCACTTTTGGGCTGCTTAAAGGTAAACATGATGCACAATATGAGGACCGCCTTTGGAAAGATGCCTGCCAATCGAAACACGTATCGCCACGGAGTCCAGGTGAAACAGAGTTTAACCCTTGCTTGATGCTGTGAACTTGGACTTTTGCCAAAAGAGAAACAAGGCCCTTCGCATGACTTTCAAAGTGACACTATATATATATAGATATATCAGTTTGGCCACACATTATCTTGTTCGTGCACACTCGTCGACTCGCCACTTCTCACTTAAGCGGGGACAAAACATGTTTAATTGAATTGGTGTCAGTAGGAAGACGTTACTGTCCACCTTCCTTGGGCTTTCGAAAGAGGTCACCGCCAAACCATAAGGTCCAAGCAAAAAGACGAGACAATTTAAGTAAGCTAGTGCTGGCATCAGCCATGGGTCACGACTTTGTCATACCGTTCAACGCGTATCATATGTTGCTTTTGCTGCGCATGTGTGTTAGCATCCTCATGTGGTAGTTCAAAGAAACCTTGCCCACGCGTTACACGACTTGCTTGGTTGAAAATACGCAGCTTCCCAAAAGCTAGGCTACAAGTCAAAGATCCACCACAAGTGCTCAGCCAAGTATTGCTTTGCAGTGTATACCTGCTGGCCATTGCTGCCATGAGTCCATAACAACCTCCGGGCGACAGGGCGCAAGCCCCGATGAAGGCTGCTTACCTCGAGGCGGACCCTGTCATCCCGCGGAACAGGGTCCACAAACCAAAGCTCATGAGTACTCGCGACTAGAATCATCCTTGTTGAGCACACACCAATTTCAAAAGTGCAGAAACAATCCGTGGTTCGTGACACGGCAAAGGGCAAAGGGCTTAAATATTTCATTGTCACCATGTTTAGTCTTACACATCTTACAAGTAGTACTACTACTTTCTGATAACAAACAGATCAACAAGTACAAAGCCAGCAGCGCATCTCCTACACCTGGCGCTAGTTCTTCGATGTGCTGTCCCTGACCCTTGCCTGCTGAGTCCCAGAGCATCTCGCGCTGATGCGTCCTGTGCTCGCCGCACACCTTGGCTACAGCCTTTGCGTCAACCAACGATGTTTGATATGTTTGATATGTTTGATTCTGGCCCAAACTCTTGCTTGATCCTGTCAGTGATCCTTAAGATGTAACGCCACAAGATGAGTTTGTTTAGAGATTCCTGTTAGCCCCATGGCACCCACCGGTCATGGTTGGAACTTTGACTCAAGCAATCGAGGCTCGAAGCAATCGAACATCGGCAAAAGCGCAAAAGCGTACAAACGAAAAACCAAGAAACAACACAACGAATGCATCGACCAGGACCACCCAGCGCTTTCTCATCAACTCCTGGAATTGGACTGCGGCTATATATATATATATCTATCTATTATAGGGGCAATCAGCAACTGTTGGTGTCATGGACATCGCCTCAAAATTTGTGCAGGACCAACCCACATGCAAAGCAACACCTACCGTGCCCAGAGAAAAGCTGGCAATGCAAAGTAACAACTCTTAGTGTCCACACGTTTTCACCACTGTAGGCCTGCTACTGATATTGCCTTGCCTTTTGACCTGCTCTTTAAGCTACCTTTCCTTTGTCTACTTTGCCAGGGACAAAAGACAACAAGCAATCAACAAGAGGTGCGACTCTCTTTTGCAAGACAGACAAAAAGCAACAAGCACAGAGCTTGACGGCTGGTTTCCCTAGTCGAGTCTCCGAGTCTCGAAAACTGGCTGAGGCTTGGGCCCAAAAGATCCGATCTGAGCGCACCGTGGGCACCGTGAGCTGCGCGCCCGTGGCCTCCCAGAATGCCCCGTGGAAGCCTTTTTTTCTTTGAATCTTCCCTGAAAACGCCCCCAGGAACCTGATTGGTCATAGCACGATTGATCCCAAAGAGTCGCTGTAAAACACTTAGCTTCTCCCCAGCTCGCCCCCATGGCTTTGGCACCTGAGGGACGCCCCGAAACCGTTCGCATTGGCCTGCTTCCCCACCCAGATCTTAGCGGTCTCGAAGTCCCGGTCGTAGGATGCCAGCTCTTCTGCCAGTAAGCGCACCTCGCCAAACCCCTGGGCACTCGAACACCACAAATGGTTTCGACTACCCCCAAACCGCGAATTGATTATCCAGGGGAAAATTCAGGAGAACTGGGTATACAACTTTGCCCCAAACGGGTACATACACCATTCCCTGGGGGATACTAGCTATGACTGCTTGGAGTGACCTGACCAAGCAAATATGGGGGGACAACAGATGACCGCTTTTCTCAGCAAGTGAGAAGCTTGGTGACATGTTGTACCGCCTTCAAAAGCGAAGGGGTCCAACAAGGGCCACCTGCTCGTTCAATGCCAATGTCTTGACCCTGGTTGCCCACAAGGCAACCGACTGGGATCCGGGAAAGGTCCTCCTGATGAGCCTTTCCCTTAAATGCTCCGAAGGAGCGTCCGCGCCCGACGCGAAGTTGTCACACACGGCGTAGCCTGGCGGGCCACCGGCGGGCAAACAACTGTCATTTCGAGGTGGCGCCGACCCCAGTGCCTGCAAGGTGTAAGCAAAGCTCTGGCGACGAGTGGGCAACACATCATTGGCAAATGGGTATGTCTCAAAATCGAACCCCTCCTAATGGTTCGCTTCCTGTTGGTCCTTGAAATCCACCCCGACGAGGGTAACAACGTACTCCAAAGCAACACACGCTGCACGAACAGGACCTCCACCAGGTCTCTCACATTAGCTCCATATCCCCACCCCGTGCCCCCCACACAATTGCAAACACAAAATTGCATTCAAATTATCTCAAGCCCATCCTGCAAATTCCATCTATGGGGGCCCGATGTCCCGAGTCGAGCCTTGCCAGTCCAGCAGTGCGGAGACGACTTGGAGGAAGCCCTCTGCCGCAGCTCCGCCCCAGGCGGTCCTCGGCGGGGAAGAAGCCCATAACCCTAGTAGAATTAGAAGGGAATCCCGTTGCGGGGTTGGCCATTTTTAGGATCAAACAACAGGAAAAAGGGGTGGCTAGGAACCAAACGCAGCAAACCATACACGACGTCAGTAGGAAGCTACTCATACAATGCCACGCTGACTCAACTGCAAGAGGTTTAGACTCTAGACATTCGATGTGCCCCTGCGAAGTGGCGAATCAATGCTTAGCCATCAGCACATAAGCGCCGCTCGGAAAGAAACTGATGGGATGACAAAACAAAAAACAAAAACTGACCGTGATCCTCTTAACAGGATCTCAGCTTTCTAAATGTCTCATTGGGGACTTCAATTTGAAGACTGCGTGCCCTACTTTTGACCCATTTCCCATAGATCACGGTTGGACTACCCTGTCAAGCGTTTCTGGTTTTGGTGGCCTGTAACATAAACGCTTTGTATATCCAAATTTTGCAGCATGTCAAATTATCATTTAAGCCTCAAGCAAAATCATCTGCACGAGCACATTGGCACTCCAACAGACTGCCCGAGGCTCGCGTCGAGCGCTGGCGGAGGAAGAACCACCGTTCGGGGCGTTGGCTCTCGCATCGCCAGAACCTGCAAACAAGATATCCTCTGCATATCTTGACTCAGCTTACTCATGGAGTGGGCATGGCTCACTGCATCGGCAGGAGTGGGCGACATGTGCACTGTAATTAGCGCAATAGTTGCACTTCCCCAGAATCCCAATCCAATGTGAGGGTTTGTCAGAAGGCGAGGACGGGATTGAGTCAAACCGTTCTTGAACATGTTCAAACGGCCAAGCTTGGTTGGGATCCTAGGATACTTGCAATCTCCATCTTGTTTAACGTTTTGGTCACCATACACTTCCCACTCCAAAGGAAAACCCTTGAATGGGCATGACACTGGATGAAGCTGCAATGTTTGAGCCTTCCAAACGGGAAACTACAAACCCTCTTGCAGCGGGCTCATGTGCTGCAACCATGAAAGATCGAGAGCTCTGAAGATAAATGGCATACATGGGCCTCCCAGACACTAGCAAATGCAACCTCTTCTATGAACGTTTGGAACAACTTTCATATGCGCGGGGCCTTGGCAGCGCCTGGGAAAGAATGATTGGAGCTCACAGCAAGAATACATGTTGGGAGGCTATGACTCCACGGACTGTGAGCAATGTGTTGTTGTTGAGCAGGCGATTTCTTCGTTTTCCCAAGCTAGAGGTCTAAGCAAACAGCATGGCATGACTCATGGCTTTGGTTTTTGATTTGGGAACCCACTTGCTTTTTGTATTATGTATTAAGGATAAGGACAATGCAAATCAAGCATTTTGGGGCTCCCCCCCCCATTTTGGGACCACATCAGATCCGATCGACGCTGGCTCAGGCCTCCTTCACCGCAGAGAGCAACCGCGAGAGGACTTGCTCTTTCCTTCGGAGGATTCGCGAGATTTTCTCGGATGCCCTATGATTTCTGGGAACGTGTCAAACCGGTGCTGAGAAAGTCCAAACCGGGCAGAATTTGTTGGGGCTCTGAGGGGCCATGGTGGTGCTCCTCTGAATAAGCACCTATATCACAAGGTGTTGATGCCCAACCCGACTAACCCCAAATCAAAGGCGTCCTCCGAAACCATTGCGCATGTGCAGGGTCGCGCCCCGCGCTTCCTGCAGAATTCCAAAACTTTGCAGGGCTTTTTGCTGAAGTGGATCAGCCAAACAGTCTCTTTCCCTCCAAATGATCCTCCCAACAGCTTGATTTGTCAGAAGTGAAGCGAAACGAAAGCAGTTGACTCTCAATGCTGGGCCGCCTTTGGGTAGTGTAAAAGTGGCCACTCCCCCGACTAGCACGGAACCCCGGAAAAGGGCCTCTGAGAAACATAGCAAGGCGTTGTTCTGCAGGTTGCATGCCCTTTGTTTCTCGGGGGTTCATATTCAGGGTGCGGCAAGAGGTGCTTAAATAACCATATCCTGGTTCCTTGTACAGGGAGACCAAAAAGGAAAGTGGCTAAACAATAGAAAGTGGCTTACGCATGCTGACAAAGGGGGTTGCCAACTCCACCCTTTTGATCCCCACTTTCACACAAACGCCGGGCCGAAAAAGCTGTGGCGCCAGTCAGCCAAGCATCACAGCGTAACCTCTGGCTTTTGCCTCCGAGAGATTGGCTGACCTGCAGCACGCAAGAAGCTCAGCGACTTCACCAACATGTGGGTAATCAATATCAAATCTGGCAACAGCTGGGTAACTATTGCCAAATTGTGGGGGTTCATGACAGCATGTTGGCAGTAGTATACGTTGATGACATCATCTGATGAATAAGTAGCTCACAAACATGTCAGCGACCGGATTTTGTCTGGCGTGAGACAGGAAGTTCCCCCAGGCGACACTGTTTGCTGTTGCACCGGCAGCAAGCACAGGGAAGGGAAGCCCCTGAGAGCAGTCGAAGAAAGCAAGCACCGCCTGAACACCTACCCGGCCTACCGGACCCTAAAGAAAGGAACCCTGATGAGATCAAAATCCCCTCCTGAGAACACGACAATTCCCCACACATCATTCCCCCCCTACAGCAAATTGGCCAGGTGATGCTGTGATGCTCACATCGAGTCAAAGGAACATGTAAGGGTCGTGCCCCTTGAAGACTGCTGCAAAAATCCTCTGGGCTATGGAGAATGGCCCCGGAGTGACCTCCCAAGCCCCCAGCCATGGTTGGATATTCTGGACCTTATTACATGGACTACTTACTGGGTGTCAGGGGCCCCTAAAAGGGTTTGAACACTTCAAGGTGTCACCAGCTCAAAGAACCACATGGATTCTTACATTTGTCCCCACTCACGGATTCCGGTGATTTCCGTTGATTCTTGCCCAAGGGACCAAAAGGCAAACCGCCCACTCACCAAACGGGGGGGCGGCTCCTTTCCGGGCCATACGCGCCACCGACCCTTGCGGCCACGCCACACGGTCTCCAGAAACGCCCAGTCCACCTCCTGCCGCCGTTGGCGCAAGGCAGCCAGCATGGCCTGGGCACAGTGTCAGATTGCCACAAGTCAGTGCCCTTTTTGCACCTAGCTGTATGCCGCCTTTCAGGTGCTAAACATTCGACTACACATGTGTTTGTGTAAATACCTCCAAGTGGGAGGGTGTCTTGTTGGCTTCCTCTTGAACCAAGGGGGCCAACCAGTTTCACATTGCCACATGCCCCACTTACTTACTTGATCCAAAGTGCATCAGGCAGCAAGCAATCTCGCACAGAGGAATAGAAAATAGGGCTCCCTCATCGAACGGTTCCTGAGACCCCGCAACGACACCAACCCCAGACACGTCCCTTTTCAGTCTAATAAATATACACACGTATATATATATATATATGTATAAGGGGCTGAATCATTACACACACACACGCACACATGATTTTTCGCCAGCATGGGGCACTGGGGTTCTCAGCGATGACCCCGTTCCAAACATCCCAAACAAGCGATTGGGTGTCCTAAATCTGGCGCGGTGTTCAAAGGCAAACAAAAGCAGCACTCTTGCCCCTAGGTGTCCTTTGGACAGATACATGGCGCTGCAAAATAATTGGAACCAAAGTGAAATCAGCGGCATCCGTGTATTGTTCACAAAACTGAAACCAGAAAGGACCCCTGAAGCCATAGGCATGGGCTACATCCCCCTTTTGGATGGTTTTGGACACCCATTTTGTGCAGAGCCGCATCGGCGCCGCCCGTCTGGAGCAAGTCCTTGCGAGGCATTGGGCATCCGGCCGTGGCCAGCTGACGAATGCCCGGTGTTTCTTGGCTACACTCATGGCATAAGGGAACTCAGCAACCAGTTGCTAAATATGAGAAACAACTTAAGAACCAAAGCTTGGTTCCGGAGATGTCGGGACGAAGCATAGAACAAAGGCACCATCTGACTGGTTGCCGGGGTGACAAGGAACCTCAAACCCGGCTCCGGCCTTGGGCTTGGGGCCTTTGGCCCGACGGAGCCCAAACATGACCGTGGTTGTGACCTTCTAGCCTTTGACCAATGGTGGACAAAGGGCTGTTTAAAGGGCATGGCCCGTGTCACAAAAGCCTCCTGTTGGAGAAAGGGTCACTCAGTTGCTTGAAAGGGAATCCCACATCCGAATCACGTTGGACTGGAAGCCACCGGGCATAGGGATTCAGGATTGTTTTGACCGAGCAGAATTGGGCCACCTCGTCCAACACGAACACGGATGTTTCCAAGTTTACACCGCATTCAGGTTTACCTTCATGGAATCTGGTTGTTTCGTGCTCAATGTTGTCCGCCAAGGCGCAACTTTGGGGCTACCATGACCCAGGTGAAGAAGGAAGCAGTAAGTTGTCCCTGTCGCAAGCTGGAGAGGACTGCCAACACTCTACGACCTGTCCGGCTCATTTCACCATACAGCTCCTTTTGATGGCATTCAACCGAAAGGAAACCGAAGTCCATTTCGGGGAATCGCCCCCTCAATCTCCGGCGGGTTCGGCTTTCCCCGCGGCCACGGTCCTTCAAAAGCTTGGCAGCGGCGGCTGGGCTCGAGACGTGGCCGTCCTCCAGCAAGATGAGGTTCTCTGGGCCTGGGATGAATTTCCACGGAAGTGTCAAAGTGGATGGTGGTTGCAGATAAAACTCACTCCAAGGATGGACATGATGTCTTTCTTCAATCTCACACAACCTGAAATGGAGCAAACCAACGCAGTCCAACCAAACAATCAAACAACCAAACCAAACCAAATCCCACCATAAAAGTGATGTCAAATAGACCATCCAGGAGCGAACGCTTTCTCTAGGAGCAAACAAGTCTTCTTTTAGCCACGCTCAAGCGAAGCACTGCTGGAAGGGATCATGCCATTCCCAAATTCCTGCTGCGTCTTGGCAAAAACTGAAGGAATTCCAAGAAAGGGGCTGAGCAATCAGGAAGCCACAAAAAATGCCGTGGCTTGCGGCTGAAGAACAGCAGGTCGATTAGAGCAAACAAAGAACAGCTAGAGGGTGAAAAAGTGGTGAAGGGCATCAAAGCCAAGAACGGCAAGTCAAGGAACCAGCAGTACAAGGGCGACCGACCAACATTTACATGAAACTAATCACAACGCAGCTTGTCGGCCAGCGGCCGAAGGCCTTGTCACACATATAATCTGCCTTCCATGTCTGAACTTATCATCTGTAGGGTCATCATAGTTGAATGCAAGTCAGGTCAAGGAGCAAATTTATGGCAGTCAGGTGCAAGATTAGCAACGTGCTTCAGGAAACGGGTTTGTCAAATCCACTATCCCTCGAGACGATGCAGCAAGTTGCGAATCTTCTTCGTCTCGGAATCGAGCTGCACTTGCCATCGACCTGAATCCTCGGCAAAAAATATATTGTGACTGGACTACCCGTCAAACAGCGGCACGGTTTCTTGGCTGTTCACTTGTTGGCGACTTTGACAGAACAGGCTGGTGCTGATTAACCAATCGCACGGCATGTCTAAGAATATGCAACCTCCAGAAGATTGCTGCTGCAAAACGCCAAGCCGACAAACCAACCCTTTGGGTGGTCCCAAACACACGGGACAATAGATGAGGCATGTCCAAAGAAGACGGGGCCTTTTCTTACGTTGATTGGGGACATCAAGGGAAGCAACCATCTTTACGCCCTGTCCAATACTGATTCCCCACTACAACCCACAGACGCACGAGGAACATGGGAGGCTTATGGCCATGGCCCCGAGTGCACAGGTGAAAGCGCCTCTCACGCGCTTTGAACATGAATAGGGAGTCTGGATTATTTTAAAGCAAACACATTGAACAGCATGAGGAGGGGTTGTCAAACTTAGGGGTCCTTTTTTGGGATCCCCTTCAGAAAATGGATTGTCTAACACCCCACAACCCCCTGGCCACTGTGTTCATCACAAACACCGTGTTTTTGATGGCGCTTCCCAGCGACGCAACACAGGCTTGCCCGTTGACCCTTTGTGAACCAAGGTGCCCGGTTGAGAACACCTGTAATACAGTCAAAAGACGGCCTACCAAGCAAGAGGTGCAGGTACAGAAACTGCCTCACAAACTCTCAAGCTGACATGCTGCTTTGGGGACCTTGCCCTCCATTTTCGGCTTCTTGAAATAGTGAACCTCTGCATTTCCAATGTTGGATTCGCCTTCCTTTTGAAGCTATCCAACGGCGCTTGACGCTGACGCACACCCGCATCGCATTTGAAATGGCGCGCAAATGGCCCGCTGCCCTGCCACCACCGCGGTCCTCCTCGAAAGCCAAGAGCGCTGCCCTCTTGCCATTGAGCTTTTGCCTTAGGACTGGGGGCAATGGTTGGTCTCGAAACCCAGTCAACCAGCTTCCACTGGTTATCATATGGTTTCTAAGTGACCTCCGTTGGGCGATTTGTTTGAGGGCCATTTGACAGCCATGGAGGGGAGATGCAGGAACTTGGGCTGCTTTCTTTGGTCTCCCTTCAATCCATGAATAGAGAACGAACTCCCAAACGCAAAAACCATAGATTTGTTCTTAATAACAAGTGTCGGCTGAAAGTTGCGTCGAAAACTCATGAACCCTGCTGGCCAGTACGTCACCAAATGATAACAGCGTACTCATAAATCTGGCATTTCTTGCACAACCTCTCTAATCAACCAGGGCTCTAAATTCCCACTAACTTGATTTGCTGAGTGGAGTGGCCGAACAAAAGCTAGACTTGTTGCTTACCACTGAAAGTCCGAAAGCTGGACAATTGGGCTATTCCTGACAAACACACACATATACGAGCAACTTGCGAAACCTCTTGTACAGCCCAAGGACATCGGGTAGAGGTTATCGTTTTTCTGTAGCCCTATCGTTTTACAAGGATTTGTGCATTTCACCGCTTCACGTGAAATCGAAGTACGCTTTGCCAGCTTCAAAGTCGCAACTTTTAGTACAAGTGTACTAAAAAAAGTACACCTTGGCAGCTCCTGCTCGGAAGTCGCAACTTTTCAGCACAAGTGTAGCAAAGGAAGTACACTTTGGCAGCTCCGGCTCAGAAGTCGCAACTTTTCAGTACAAGTGTAGTAAAGGAAGTACACTTTGGCAGATCCGGCGCGAAAGTCGCAACTTTTCAGTACAACTGTAGTAAGGAAGCACACCTTGGCAGCTCCTGCTCGGAAGTCGCAACTTTTCAGTACAAGTGTAGTGGAGGAAGTACACTTTGGCAGCTCCGGCTCAGAAGTCGCAACTTTGCAGTAGAAGTGTAGTAAAGGAGGTACACCTTGGCAGCTCCTGCTCGAAAGTCGCAACTTTTCAGTACAAGTGTAGTAAAGGAAGTACACTTTGGCAGCTCCGGCTCAGAAGTCGCAACTTTGCAGTACAAGTGTAGTAAAGGAGGCACACCTTGGCAGCTCCGGCTCGAAAGTCGCAACTTTTCAGTGCAAGTGTAGTCTTTGGCAGCTCCGGCTCGAAAGTCGCAACTTTTCAGTACAAGTGTACTAAAAAAGTACACTTTGGCAGCTCCTGCTCAAAAGTCGCAACTTTTCAGTACAAGTGTAGTAAAGGAAGTACACTTTGGCAGCTCCGGCTCGGACGTCGCAATTTTTCAGTACAAGTGTAGTAAAGGAAGTACACCTTGGCAGCGCCGGCTCCACAGTCGCAACTTTTCAGTACTAGTGTAGTAAAGAAAGTACACTTTGGCAGCTCCGCTTCGAAAGTCGCTTTTTTTAAGTACAAGTGCAGTAAAGTAGTAAAGGAAATACACTCAGCTGCTCATTTCCTTACATAAGGGGCCCATTGCACCCAACCATGTTCAGTTGGGTGATTTGTTTTTCTGTAACCCTATCGTTTCGCATGCTCTTGGCACGTTCTACTGCACATGTTGGTATGTCATGTCCAGCCCCTTTACATATTGGTCTTCCATAGGTTTTGATAGACGCTCATATATATATATATATATACACATACATCCTCTTCAAAGTTTCCCGCGAACATCAGCCCACGACAAGGCCACTCATGTTCAAAGGCCCCAAGGAAACGCATGGCACATCCAAAGTTGGTTGCCCTCGTCGCGGGCCACCTAAGTCACTGAGTGCCAGACCCATCTGCAGAGCGCAAGCTATGCACCTGGCACGTCGAGACCGGTGTCTTTGGAAGGGTACCCTTTGGAGGGCTGGTTCAAAAGCCAACCCAAGGACAGCCAGAATAACATGGCTGAATGAAGCCAGTTCTTTGGGCTCGGTATAAAGACACCGCCATCAAGTGAAATCAGGGCTGAAGGGGGCCCAATGCAATCGAAAGCAGTCGTGCTGAAGCGTGGAACGCACCTTCGCATGGGTTTGAAAGGTTCGAATTTGATACAGCTTGTTGATTTGCGAGAGACGTGAATATGACAATACGAATTGAGCTGCACAACAAACTTGTGTGCAAGGATCAGCTCAATGCCCAAACAAAGACCCACTGAAATCCGGCAACCAACAAGAGTAGATGTCCGTATCATCAAATTTACGCACAACAAAAAGCCGAAACCGCCGAAACCGCCCGCCTCCACTTGGCGGCCCTGAAGGTGGTACCCCTGCTGCAAGCTGCGCCGGACCGACTTCTTGAGGCCCAACGCGTCCCCAGTCGAAGGCGCCGGGCATAAGGACCTGGAGTCGGGGCCCATCTTGGACGCAGCACTATAGGGGGTGTGTTTGCGTGTGCTTCTTTTAAGGGTACCCCTGTGTTTTGTGGCTTTTAAAGAAAAACCAAAAGGACAACCGAAGCCATTGTTTGTTGTTTTTTTTTGCGGGGGGGGGGGGAGGTCCAACCTTCAAACAGACACACCCAATCAGCTTCCCTCTTAATTAGTGGGATGGATGGCTTGGAGGATAATTAGGATTTGTGGTTCTCATTTACCAATCCGAACCACCAGAGGGGTTGCCTGAAATAAAGCAAGGGTAAAAATGTTAAAGGCAAATCGAGCTGGAGACAAACATCCACAAACAAATCCCCGCTCCTCCAACCTGTTTTTGTTAGCTTTCTCTGAGGTTGTCCTGAAGCCGCTGAACTCCGGCCGAAAACAAACGAACGCGGGCGAACCCACCATTCCACCAAGCCTAAGCTAGCCACGCCAGTCCAAGCAGACACAGCAAGCACATGGAACAACAAACGAGCAAGGTGCCAAACCTTTGCAAGAGACAGCTAGTGCCTGACGGTCCAACGACTTTGCCAAACCTTCCTTGGACAGAGTTGCCAGTACACCATTTGCACGTCTTAAGAAAAATAACTATATGGATTTCAATTAGCAGTTCATCCAAGAGGCTAGTGAACCCTTGTCATTCTCAACTTGTACCATACCAAGCTGCTGAGTTGACTGGCCACGAACAGTGTGTATATATTATATGTATTTACAGAGCCATCTTCAATACAATTGATATGACACGTGTGGCCAAAATCCTCCAACAAATCACTCAATAATTCCGGTAGCTCTGATGCTTACATATCGTATTCCAGGCTACGCCGGGTCATGCAAGCGTTGTGTTTGGTGCACTTGGTGCATCAAATTCCTCCATGTTCAACCAGAACAAACTTGAAGGGGGGGAAAGACATGGTCTCTCCAGCAGGCTTTCCGCCAAGGCTCGTCTCTGTAAGCTTCGCAAGGCACGACAGTGCTGCAACCTCGGCTCAAGGGCCAATCGTTTCAAAGTTGTGGCCCCTTCCCATTGCTGCGGGTCATGGTGTCTGGCAAAATGGAGGAACACTCATAGCCGCGCCCTCCGCGAAAACAACATTCAGCAGCCTTAAGAAGAAACACATGTCCGTCGAAGTTGAACCTAAAACTTTCAAGGTCGCAAGAAAGCACCAGCGATATACCCGCATATTTGCAAAGCCCGCATTCCGACTGACAGAATAAGCGCGAAAGAGAGCTGAGCTCCTAAAATGGTTGGTTTCCTGCGGGTTACCCTCGAGTTTCCCTTGAAACTCATTTCACACCAGCCCCAAATATTCCATCTCAACATCGGGGACCCCCCAAACTCGCTTTGATGCCCCTTTGATGTCCCTTTGATTTCCCTTTAAGGACCCCGCAAACTCGCCTTGATTTGCCTTTGATCTCCCAATCTGAAGCCACCCTCCACAAGCGACGCAGCCCCGGGCGCCTTTTGCGGCGAGACGTGGAGCTCCGTGCGGAAGCTCGGAGCGTGGCTGGGCGAGCACCGCAGCAGGGGGCACACGCCCAGGAGCCGCGCCCAGGTGGCCAACCTCCCGCTGGCAGACCCCCCGACAGAAGGGAAAGCCAAAGGAAACCAAGGGAAAATTCAAGGAAGACCAAATGAAACCATAGGAAAACCACATCCTAGAATAACCAGAGGAAAACCAAACCGAAGGAAACGGGAACCAAGCCAAACGAAGCCAATAAAAGCCATAGGAAACCATGGGAAAGGGGAAGCATAGGAAACCAAAACGAAAGTTTAGCTTGGGGGGGTTGGTCATCGTTTAGAGGCTCGCAGCGACAATCGCAAAATCTGCTTCAGGAGGTCCCGGTTTTCTTTTCAAAGAACACGACCACCCCGTCTCTTTCTGTGAAGATCAAGGGAACATCTCTAAAAATGGATGTGGGTTTATCCACCTCCAGAGCATCAAGTATCACTCCCTCAGTTCCATTGTCTGGTCTTCCCAACTATAATTGAAAGGTGACATGTTTGCCCAAGTTTTATTTCATTGACGCCCCATGTTGGGAGAAGCAAAGGGACCCTTTCTCTTCGAGGGTTTCCACAGATTCAATGTGGATCTCGTTGTTTCCCTCCAAAATAAATCAAAGGTAAACATTGACACCCGCTCCATGGAAGAAAACCAGCCTGAAATGAAAAAGCGCGGATGCAAGCGAATCCAACGGCCTGACACAAAAACAACTGTCAAGGGCCCTTTCTCGGCGGTTGCTCCTCCCAATGGATGTCACGTTTTTCCTACCACGGAGAGCAATGCAGTGGAAATAAATTTGAAACGCGGAATTTGGTCTGGGAACCTGCATCCGCCCAAGACCTGTCTGAGTTGGTAGATGTTGGAGCGGAGAAACCTCAATCGACCACTCAACCACGGGCTGGCCTGTGTTCAAACCCCAATCAACGGATCCCCTAAATCAATTGTAGCCATTTAGCTGCGTTCAACAGCCAATTGGTCCTCAAGGCAACACTCATGTCTTGCAAACCATCCACAAACTTGGGCAGTTGCCTCCCTCCCACAATGTGGACCTGGGGGCCCCCGCAGCTCCGCAGAGGTGGACCCCAGCTGTGCGGCCCAGGCGTGGGTCATGGGCTCCTCAAGCCTCTGGGGGTTGAGACCCATGGGGGTGGGGGGCAACAAAAGGATTGCCCAAGCAAAGCCAAGTTGAAGCGCGCCCCCCAAAAAAGATGGGGAAGGCAGCTCAAGTGCTAAAAGATTGATTCGTCGTCCAACTTGACGAAACTTGGAAAACTGAAAACCCTGAGTCAACCAGGCCATCAGCAGACTTGTATCCCCAGCAAGAGTTTGACAGACTGCGGGGCATTCTGATATGGTGGCACACGGCCCCCTTCTGGACCCAGTGAACCAATGCGTAGTCGAAGCCCAGAAAATGCATTTGACCAGACTCCTCCCTGCACCCCGGCCATTGTGCGAACATGGCAGCGTCACGATTGTTGAAGGATATAAAAGGGAGGAGAAGGTACCCAACGATGTTGCATCAGTCATGAAACTCTTGGGGGTTCTTCATCGGGTAAGCCCAGTAATTGGTCCCCATCTTCGCCATCAAACCTTTGGGTTCCTCCAACCTCCAGATGCAGATAAGCAACGGGCTCACACAGGAGTGCAGCGAATTGAACAGGGAGATCCCAACCGGAATGATTCCTCGGAGACAGTTGCGGTTGTGCCGGATCTAAGAGAAGCAACCACGACTTGCAAGTTTAAATGGCCTCCCGAATTCAACGTGCTGAGAATGATCATTCATTGAACATGAGATGGGGTGGAGGCACACAACGCACACACTTTCTCATGTCGCACGTGTTGGCCGAGCATCGCTTCTGGCGCAAGAGCTGCCATAAGCGGGCAGAGTTTTCAATGAAGTAGCCGCCTGGGCTGGGTGCCAGCTGCGAATTCGGAAGGTGGTGCCAGGGTCGCTTGGAGAAATGTTGGTTGGGCTTGTACTGTCCTCGCGAATGACACAAAAAGGAGCCCATAAGGGGTCGGTCCCGTGAAGAGCCGTGCTAGGGTCAACACAATGAAACTCCATGCTTCAAAGACGAACGTAGAAACACAATTGTTGGCAAGTCAATGGCCAAAAATGGATACAACCTGAGCCACTCTCCGGGGGTTGTTTTGGATGCCGAGTCTAGCTGTGGATCCATCCTGGAAGAGTCCTAATGCCAAAAGAGTGACACGACTTACATCAACATACATCAACATATGATAATCCAACAGCCTCGTGCTTCAAAGGGGACAGTTTAAGCCCACTTTGTCCCTGGCTTTGACACATCCCCTCGCCACTCAGCTAGCCCACCTTGGTGGAACATCGAGCACTTGAGCTGGACAACGGCAGGCCTTGCAGCAAATTCAAGCGTGGCCGCTGGCAGTCGCTCGCACCTGCACCCTGAAACCACCTACGAGCAAAAACTAGGCAATGGAAACTGCAAAGCTCCAACACGAAATCATTGACGTTTGATGACATGATGTGCATTGCGTCTATCGCTGCGCTTCCGGCACCAGAATGGGCATGTTGACGTCCTTACCGGAGTCTGGTTGCTGAAGTGGCCATGGGGGGAAAGGACACCTTTTTTGGTTGGTTCCCAAGCTGCAGCAGGCAAAGTGGGGCTCTGGGCAAACGAAAGGCTTAAGCGGCGTGCACCACGTAACAGGGCTACCTTTCCGCCTGCAAACATGGAACTTCACACCCCAAGCTATTCGATTCGCATTGTGCGGGTAGGTGTCAAACAAGCTGGACTCTTCTACATGGGGTGTATGGTTCCTGCTGTCATGAACCGTGGGATGACACACGGGCATAAATTGCAATTGGGGACTCTTCGATGAACGTAATTTACATGGAGATGAGCGTCCGAAACCATTCTGCGAAGCCTCTCTATGATAACTGTACCATACGTTTGTAAAGGGCATGCTCAACAAAGGGCCTTTACCACAGGCAAGCCGTGAAAAGAAAAGAAAACAACAGATATCTGCACAAGCAGCAACACCAGGCGGTGATATGAGCATAAGCTTCCGGCCACAGGGACTCCGGCCGCTTGGTGCTCGACAACACCTGCCCGCCCCCACTCGGAAGGGTCTGGGAGATCTAATGTTTATTGTTCTGGTCGGGGTTGGGGTCATGGTTGCCCTGGCATCTGGGTAATTGCTACGTGTCTGTTGGCTTTGGACATTCGCCGCAATACACAAGAATCACCAGCCTTAACAATCCTCTGTAGACAAGTGCACTGCCCAAGGCCTGAACAAGCCTTGAAAAAATCAATTTGACCACAAAGGACCCAATGAAACCCCTCACGATCATTCGTAGGAGGTCAAAAGGGAGGGTGTTGTGGGCACAGGTTGAACTTCTTGGCTCTTGAATCGCAGGGACAAATAGGAACGCAACAATCCGCCAACGCCTATTGAGCAATCCTTCAGATAAGGAGGGCCGCCACCAAGATCCTGGCTTTAACCCTCTAAACGCATCAGCTGAAGCAAGGAACTGAGCCTGCAAACCCCCAAAAGACATGTTCTGCACATATACATATATATATATATATATGTGTATATATATAAGTATAAATATGTTATTAGATCGGGATTCTTGATTGCCCCCATTACCCTTTTCCACTGGGCGGGCCTCAAGCTGCTGCACCGTGACGTTGGATGCCCCCAGCATCCGCGCGCGGCCCGCTTTCACCTGGCACCGGCGCAGTGGACAATGGGAAGGCTCAACGCCCCAATCAGAGGGGTTGTAACCCGCAATAGTTGTCCCATGTGGGCCAAGCATTTAGGGCTCTGGCTTGTCAACGAGTATTCTACATATTACGGAGAAAAGCGCCAAACAGACCTGAGCTGGGAAGCAAAAACCTTGCCAACCCTTGGGCAATCATCAAACTGCCTCACCCCCCACCCCTCTGCCTCCTCCTCCAAAACACGCCAAACACTTTCCAGCTCGTCGTCGTTGGGAGGGGGGCGGTGTAGCATCAAGCAGTCAACTGAGCCACAACCTCAGTCGCTGCCGTGCTGTGCAGTCAACCATAGGCTTTTCGGCTAGCAAATGCAGCAATATCCCAACAACGCGTTCGCTGTGCAGTTTACATTTTAATACGCAAAATAATGCCTAATATGATTCATAGATGTGCTTCACTGTGTCTTCTGTTCAACTCTAGCACCTGACTGGCCAAATCTTGATTGGCGCGCGCATGATGCTTGTCATTTTGCTCATGACTGACAGGACTGATGGCCGTTGACAATGCAACTCCTCCCACTATGTACATCTCTTGAAGGCATGCGGCCGTTCCCAATACAATTAGGGGCTTGAGGACTTGTCCGAGGCAGAAGAAAGCAAAGCTTGAAAGAACAGCTTTGCACTGATCAGTGGTCAGTCCCAGCATTCATAAAGTTTACTGATCATCCAGCCGCCTGGCTCGTCCTCCGCGCCTACATGTCCATCGGGCCCAAGCCACAGCTTGTAGAACTGAGTCCAGCTTGGCCATTGGGAAACGCCGATGGTTTGGGACTCCAGTGCTACTTGGAGGTGCCCAGTGCGGCCATCAATTCCCGCGCGAGCTCAGGCGTGGCTGCGCAGAGGCAGCTGCTGCCCTCAGGCAGAAAACCAGCGCTTGTGCCATGGACTAGGTGTCATGTAATGGACAAACACATTACAAACATGCTTCTCGCATGATCTATCATGGGGCATCTTGAATTAATAGTACTTCAAAACCCCATTCTAACAATGCGACCCTTAAATCACTTGAGGTTGACCAACCATTACTTGACACGCCCGACCCATTTCGGGCTTACCGGCTTGATTGTTGGGCTACCCATGCTGGCACCAACGGCTCTGGGTAATCTGTCTGCCCTTGCTTCAAGTTGTGGGAGATTGCACTTTTGGTACGTTGAAAGAAAGTGGAGCAAACTGGAAAGCTGAACGACCAGAATACTTTTCCAGCTAACCAACAGATTTCCGGTTTTTCGGTAGGGACTAGCCGTGACCGATTCACTTACCTGAGCCTGCAGCAGGGCGACCCTTGACTACAGAAAACCAAAACAAAAACTCGCCTGTGCACCGGTCGGCCATCACCCCCCGCCCTCCCCAGAAAAAAGCTGGAACAGGGACCTGAGATCAGAAACGGCGCGCTGAGCCCATAGAAGTTGAGACGAATCCCCGGCAAGTTGGCTGACACCGATGTGCGCTCCGGCGCGGAAAGGAATATGAAGGAAGAAACATGCCAGCATCGAATTATTTGTCTTCCGCCGATTTGAGCAAATAACTGCTGTGTTGACGCCACATTTACGACAATCTGCCAGCTATCCATTGAATATATCTACTCTCTCCAAGATGAGCTTCGTAAGGGTCGACCTCAGAACCACGGATCAGTGAAGTGAGGCCGTGTCCAGGTTCTTTAGGGATGTTTTCGGGGTCTGGGGACGGCCTTCGGAGACACGGACAAATGATTTGTTCAGGTTCCTTACTTGTATACATACATATATATGTATATGTATATATTAAATATGTCAGAGTTAAACATCACCCCGCCAAATGGCATGCACTTACAAATGGCCAATGGTGAGCTAGGTCTTACATTCTCAACACGGCTAAGTTCCTGGCTTTTGCTTCCCTTGCAATGTTCACTCCGTGAGTGGATTTGCTAAACAAAGTATGAACTTTTTGGCTTGCCACTAATTAAAGTGCCGTTTGCAACACATTAAAATGCCCTTCCCGCAAAGAATAAAGTTCAAGTGGGGAAGTGAGCTATTTATCTCCTTTCAATAAAGGGTACGACTTTTGCACTTTGCGAGCTTCCCTTCCCTACTTGCCCGAGCACATCCCAGTTGCCAGCCAATATAGGGAACCCGATCCCTTCGCGATCAGAAGGCGGCTACCAACAAAACTGGTTACCCACAAAAGCAGGTAAATGAAAAACCTGGTATTTGGACAACCAAATAGATGGAAAATCATTGCATCCCATGGTTTTCTGGAATCGGAATCAATGGGTGCACTCGCTCGCCTGAATCTGGAAGGCCGTGCCCTGCAAGCTGGATAAATAAGCGCCGGCTTCTCGGGCGATGATGCACCCGGCGGCATAGTCCCAGGGCTTTCCACCTCGACGGCGTTTCCGTTCATTTGGTTTGGGGGAGATCCCCGTTGGTGGGAAGTGGGAACTCCTTCACTCTTTGCGCAAACTTTTTTTTGGCGGGCTTTAAACGAAACAAACAGCAAACAGTCGTTGGAATGAAGGCTGTTTGTTTTCCGAATTTCGGAAGCCTCCCACACCGGCCACTTGCGATCCCTTTGGTCTGTGGCAACATGGCCATGATCATTGAAAAACAGCCAGCAAGGTTTTGGTCGGGAGACATTTATTGTGGTGGGTTGAGAAGGGAAGCAAGAAAACAACAATCTGAGGAGTTCCGAACTGTGTCCTTGTGTTGGCAAGGCCACATTAGTTTGCCAAGCCTTTGAAGGGGTTCCTATGCTTTGCGCACGAGAAAAAAGGGACCAGACCCAACTACCTTCAAAAAACCACCTTTAGAGGGGTTCCTATGACCCATAGTTCTTCCAAACGCATTGACCCCACAACCGCTGAGCCAACCGCCGCGCCTTCGGAGCTGAGGCCGGTGTAGTAGGCGGTGCCGCGGCCGCAAGCCACCCAGCACAGGGACAGCACACAGGAGCCCAGGTGCCGAGTGGCACGACAGCCCCCAAGTAGCCTCGGGGGAAAAAAAAACCAAAAAAACAACAAAAACGGGGTTGCCGGGTGTTTGGGGTTTGCTTTTGCCTTTCAATGGATGTCCTGTCCTAAGTGTTCTTGTCCTTTTGCAAAAAAAAAGCGAATATGCTATGTGCAGCCAGGTACTTGAGCCAACTTGTCTGGGTGAATATGTATTCATAGGCTACTCGTTTTCTCTTGAGTTTCAAAGGAAACCCAAGGGACACCAAATTGGGAAGCCAAAGGCAGCCCCTTTAGGAAAACCTTGCATTTTGAAGGTGGGTGATATGAGATTAGAGTCCCCGAGCTTGTCTTCAGCTCAAGTTTGGAATCTTGAGCAAACTGACTTGGCTGTCCACTGTTGCGTGTCCGCTTCTAGTGGAGAACCAATTCGGAGGTTGACAGAAAGGCGACGCTGATGGGGCCCTGATCCCCTTGAAAGGTGGAAGGAGATCACGGGAATCAGGGTCCGGTTCTTTTTGCCAGTATTGTCTGCCAAATTCACCAACCTTCCAGCAAGCAACCTTCATGGACGAAATCGATCTGCTGAAAGGTGGCTACTTGCTCAGAAAACAAGGGCCAAAGGCCCTACCCTACAAATCCTAGCTGGACCTTTCTGATGTCCCAAGCCCTATGGAGGTCCCTTTCACCTCCAACCGAGACTTCCAATGAGGGCACTGAACATCCCGAGATCAGCAGCAGTGACTTGAGGCCCCCCAGGATGCAGTCCACCCCGGCCTCGCACAAAGTTCCGGCGTGGGCCCGTGCCTGTTCCTTGTGGCTTGTCAGGGAAACCTGTGGGTATGGGTCAAAATGGGACTGCAGGTTTTAGTCCTTGTTTCCATTTACCAGGGTGCCATTTGAGGTACCTATTTTTCACCCACACCCATGTCGGACGGAGCCCGTTCCAATAAACTAAATCGGGTGAATCCATATTTCTGAACGAGAATCAGCAAGCTTCTTTGGCAGGAACACCACCATATTATTTGTCCCGACTGTTCACAGAAAGTGCCACAGGCTGGAGTCAGGGCAACACTGCCGCATGAGCATTCGCAAAGTCTCCAGTGTATTTGCGAAGGTTCGACTCGCCCACCCAATCGAAAGACTCACAAAGGCAATTGACCAGCGGCCGAAACTGCATGAAATCAAAAGAGTTAATTGTAAAATCAAGTGAGATGACACAACTGGATCAACAAACAACAGGTCACACAAACAAACAAACAAACACGCAAACAAACACACACACACACACAAACAAACAAACAAACACACAAACACAAACAAACAAACAAACAAACAAACAAACAAACAAACAAACAAACAAACAAACAAACAAACAAACAAACAAACAAACAAACAAACAAACAAACAAACAAACAAACACACAAGCAACCAAACCGAGACACAAGCCACGCACACACACACAGAAGGCGATGCGTCAAGAAACACGTTCAACAGGTTTAACTGCATGATGCCTCCAATTCGGAGAGGTCCCTGGCTTGGACGCAAGCAAGGGTCACAAACGGGCAAGACTACTCACTCGAACCTCGGATCGCTCGTAGCCGAGCTCAAAGAGCACCATGGCTTCCTTCATGTGCTTCACAGGATCCACAAGAAGCCGCTCGCCGTTGAGGTAGGCGCCTCTCGAGCATCGCAAGAAAAATCGCGATACCCTTCCACCAACTTGCCAAAAGGAACGTGCTCGCAAAAGGGGGAAGTGCACTTCCATCTTTGTTGTTTGGAGGGTATCCCATGGTATATTAGAGAGCAACCTCCGACCATTCCTCCATGAATCGGTTCGACCAAAAGGCCCACCACCTCAGCCCGAAAACTTTGGGAATGAGAAGAACAGTGTTCTTTGCCCACTTCCGCGCGTACAGACTGTTGATGAATAGCTTGTATTTCACACCGACAGGTACGTGCGCAATTTCACAAGGCATCGGCGTTTGTGTGCTGACGTGCTGTGCGTGAATTGTTTGTTGGCAATACTGCGAAAGCTATTCCACAAGGGATTTCGATCGCTTCTTGGCCAGAACAAAATAATTTGTGGTCAGTTGTTCTTCTTCATCTGGAGACATGACATGGAATTGCAAGACCAGGCCAACAAGGCAAGACCTAAACTCAATGAATTCAGCAAACATCTGCACTGGTTTCTATTTTCTATGTGTTCCACGACATAGACAACTTGATACATTAATCGACTGAGCACCAACAGGGGCTATTCTTTCTCGTAGTAATGGCGTCATGCTTAATGTTTAAGGGACAAGAACACTGGCATACGCCCAACCTTCGTGCAA